CGGCAGGTTTTCCGAGTGGCACGGGACAAAGCTTCGTCCCGCGGCGGGGCAGGCACATTTTCAGCAAGGAGCAGTGGAGCGTGCAATTCAGTCCTGGAAGGCGATCTGGAGGAAACTCGTCGATGAGCACTCTGTGGGGAAAAACGACATCCAGATGGCAGTGACTGCCATCAACACGGCAGTGAATACTCTCAAGCGAGACTCCGGATACAGTCCCGCTCAAGCCGTTTGGGGGCGAGATCCTGTGCTACCTGAAGACTTGTGGGGATCGGACCACGGGGAGCAGATCGACCATGTGATCACTCGCGATCGCAAGCGCGCCCGCGAAATGGCTCTGCGCATCGGAGCCAAAGAAGCCTTCTTCAAGATCCAGAATGACAACAAGTTGCGACGAGCTCTTCTTCAACGGACGAGAGTGGCAGGCCCGGAGGTCCAAATTGGAGACTGGGTATACATGTATCGGAAGGCCAAGAACTGCAAGGACTGGAGGTGGATTGGTCCAGCTACTGTGATCGGACGCGAAGGTCCGAACCTCTGGGCATCCTTCGCAGGACGTTGTCATCTCGTAGCTCAAGAACATCTACGTTTGGCTACAGGAGAAGAAATAGGCGGGGCATTTACGCTCCGCTCCACCAAGGAGGATTTGGAGCGCCTCCTGGACAGAGACTTCGCAGAGGAGGAGATCTACCTTGGGAACGACGATGACCGTGCTGAAGAGGGACATCGCATTCCTGGTGCTATCAGCGGCAGAGCTGAGACTGCGGAGGAGGAGGACATCGACATGCCCTTCCTAGATCTACAAGGGACTGATCCCCCTGGCGACGAGGCGGGCCAAGGACCCACCAGAAGGAGGAAGCGCAAGAAAGGGCACCCGGACGTGAGCCTCGAGGATATGCCAATGGTGCCCGACTCCCCCTTGGTCTCCGATGACGAAGACGCGGGCGACTTGCAAAGGGGTCACGGTTCTGGCGTTCTTCACGAAGCACATATGTTGAAACTTCCCAAGACTCCCCGAGGCAGAGAGAAAGCTCTTGAGAAGGAACTGCCATGGGCTTTTATCCCCTCTTCTCAACATGAGGCTTTTCGCGCTGCTGAACAGAAGCAATGGGAAGAGCACAGGGATCACTCAGCCCTAGAGCCTCTTTCTGTGGAGGCTAGCCGGGAAGTGAATGCCACCAAGGGTGACAGGATCCTTGGAAGCAGATTCGCTTACCGTGACAAACATTGGAGCAAGAGAAAACAGAACAGCGAACTTCCTTGGAAGCCGAAGGCCAGACTCGTGATTGCCGGTCATCGAGACCCAGATTTGTCACTGGGCCTGTCTACCCACGCTCCTACAATTTCGAGGCAAGGAATCTTCCTATTGCTGCAACTCTTGGCCAGCAACCTCGCCGGGGGATGGACAGGACACGCCGGCGACGTGAGCTCGGCTTTCTTATGTGGACAAGAACTACAACGCGAGCTCTACTTGAGGCAGCCGAAGGTTGGCTTGGGGAATCTTCATCCTGAACAACTTCTTCGGATAAAGAGGCCGATCTTCGGCCTTGTCGATTCTCCTTCCTCCTGGTGGGACACTCTACGTTCCACGCTCCTCGAGACTGAGATCTGCGACGAGGGTGGAAAGGTCTGGCACATCCGCCAATGCACTCTGGATCACTGTATCTTCATGGTGCAGGAGTACCGAGGGAAGGACGAGCACCGGGAGGCGCTCTACGAACGGCCCGCCGCCTACTTGGGGGTACACGTGGACGATATCTTGCTCGTCGGGATGGACACTCTGTGCTCCAAGCTCAGCTCCGTGTTTCCCATTCCGGACTGGGAGTCCAACAGCTTCGAGTACGTCGGCTCCTTTATCGATATCGGCGCCGACGAGATCAAGGTCTCTCAGTCCAGCTACGTGAAGACGAGACTCTTTGAGGTCGAAATCGACAAAGGGCAAAAAGACTGGGAACCTGCGAGTGAGACCCAGAAGCACGACAACATGTCCCTGGTGGGTGCCTTGAGCTGGCTGGCCAGTCAGAGCAGGCCGGACCTTCAAGTCGGCGTCTCCTTGAGCCAGCAATGCTAAAAGAACCCCTGCGTAGGGGACATTCGCTTCACGAATGCCAATGCGAAGCGAGCCTACGAACACCTTGACGAGGGCGTTTTGATTAGGCCGGTCGACCTCAACCAGGCCGTCCTTTTGTGTTACCACGACGCTGGATGGGCAAACTGCCCCCAGGACGAGGACGATCCCTACTACGCGTTGACGCCCGAGGAGAATGCGGACGGCATCATGGAGAACGGGCCCTACGATTTCCATCTTCGAAAGGCCAAGAGAACGAACTCCTGTATAGCCTCTCAGTTGGGCGGGCTCTACCTACTATGTGACAAAGCGGTCCTCTCAGGAGGAAAGCACAAAGCCAGCCTCTTGGACTGGAAGAGCTCGGCTTGTGACCGAGTCTGCAGGTCTACATTCGCTGCTGAGACCATGGGATGCGCCACGGCAATCGAGACGGGGGAGTACATACTCCGCTTTCTACAGACACTCGTGGACGGCAAGTTGGCGAGGAGTTCTACCCCCTTGCGCTACGACATCCGGTTTCTGAGTGACTGTAAGAGTCTGTACGATAACCTAACGAAGGATGGCATACCTCGGCCACCCTCCTGTAAGCGGCTTGCAATAGACCTAGCTGCCATCCGTGACGATTTGAAGACTCTGGGACGTCTCGCCTGGGTCCCGACAACGGCCCAAATGGCGGACCATTTGACAAAGCCCTTGAGAGCAGGGGACTGGTGGGCCGTCCTTAAAGGAGGGCTCATGTTGACGTTTAGAGAAGGAGGAGATGTTCTTAACCAGTGTCAATCTGTGAAGTGCACCGCTGTCTGATTCTGCCATCTCCTCCGAAGTTTCCCAAAGCCATGCTGAACAGTTTTATCCCGGAGGCACAAGAGTGGTTCGAAGCGTGGCAAAAGCGGCCGCCGTCTCTGCAGGCAGGACCCCTGCTTCTTCGTTTTAGATTTAGGGCGGGAGAGAAAGACAAAGGTTGAAGCGTAACTTGCTGATTTCGATGTGGTCAGCGTGGAAGTTCGCAGGCAAAGCCGCAGCCCTCCCGGCACTGCCGTTTTGTTGTTGGGTCAGTGTGCGCTTGTGAAGGCCTAAGCAAGGAGGACCCAGGCAAAGCCGCAGCCCCTCCGATGCTGTTTTCTCAATAACGACAGCATGGAAGGTCGCAGGCAAAGCTGCAGCCCTCCAACGCTGCCTTAGTCGTGTTCAAGCACTCCTGGACACAAGTCGTATAGTAGCAGCACACGCAGCACGTGTGCGCAGGACATTCTTGGTCACAAGTTGCATAGTTGGATAACTTACTGCACGTGTGCTGAAAACATTGCTGGTCGCCAACTGTATAACTGTATAGTACAAGAAAGCATGACTGTTCACAAGTTGCATGGTAGAAGATGTCGCCTTTCGGCGCAAGACATCGCCACACAAGTTGTATGGTAGAAGAGGATCTTCGGAGAATGTCATAATGTTGCACCCGAAGGTGAGTGGTCATACCTCTGGCCACCGAACTTTCTGGATAAAGCTGGGGCCTCACGACCGGCACTTTGACAGAAAAACAGCCGAATGACACACTTGGAATAACCCTTAAAATGACGGAAGTGATAACGTGGGTTAGCAGGTTTTATCTTCTTCTTTCACCTCTGCTTCTTCTTCGGTCATCTCTGATTTGGACGTGCACCCGACAACTTTCACTGGCAATTGCATCATCTCTTCAGGCCAATACTTAACAACGGGTGCATTTTGGGCGGCCTTCTGCAGGTACGTCAAGTGAGCGTCCTCTCTTGATATCACATTCCGATGGTGCGGTCTTCGTTGGGCCATGCACACCAGAGGAATGATCGCCCCCTGCTTCTTTTGCTTTGCATGCACTCAAAGTCCCTTGGCTTCAGGTGGTGCACACACAAACATAATAGCAACAGAACCGCACCCCGCCCCTCCCCCCCCCCCGCACCAACAACAAAAACGACCAACACCAAATCAACACCGTGTGGGTGCTGGGGTGTGTCTTTTGGGGTGGGTGATGGGCATGTGTCTTTGTTGGCTTCTTGGGCCAGGACGGCCCCTTCACTCACTTGCAGGTTTGCCGGGGCTGCAAAGCAGAAAGAACAGCAACAAAGCAGCTGTGCAGAAAGACGCCCGCTCCGTACATCATGCCAACTGACACACAACCTGGAAGCGAAGCAACTAATCTGCGTTTGGTCCTTGCCACAAGGCATCATCAAGGTTTCGCGACAGTCTCCACGACCCCCATGGCAAAACATGGCTGACACATCGCTGCAGAGTCACTGCAGAGTGCACTGAGTGCCGTCGCAAAGATGCACCACAAGGCTGCATATGCCTAGACTTACAACGTCTGGACAGATCCATAAGCAGGAATGAAAGCCTCCGCTAGGGTGCAGTGCGCCTGCTTTCGGATACGTGAGCGCAAAGATCCCACGGTGAAGATGGCCGCCGCAGCAGAGGCACCGAGGAACTGCAGGAAGTCGCCACGACCAAGACTGCACAGGGCCGTCACAACAAAATCTGGCAAACGAATTTTTTGGAAGTGTAGCCTTGCGGCTGCACACCTTCTGAAGTAGCTCATGTTCAAACACAGACTTGACTGCAACTGGGAACTTGGTCTGCCTGGTTGTCTCCCTCGGCTGATCGACACTTCTGGAAGCCCGCAGAGACCGCGGAGCATTCGGTCTGAGCAGGCGTCTACATGACATACATGATACGCCGAATTGGAAGCGCGGCCGCGCGAGGCTCGGCCTTCCACTGAGAGCATGAGTGCTGACGCCCACTCGCGGAGCCGCAGCGATTGTCTCCAGTGGAGCCATGCTGAAAGGGCCGGAGAGCTGGGGCTCGTAGGCCTTTCCCGAATTAAGACGTATCCTGGAGCCAGACAGCGGCATGCAAGGCAAAACATCGCAGCCAAAACCGCCTGAGCATGTCTAGAGTCTAGGCTCGGGGCGCAGTGATATCTGGCCAAAGCATCTGCCACATTCCACAGAAAACCTACGCGGCAGTGATCGCTTCCAAAAATTGGAGAATCGGAGTGTCGGAGGCAATAAGCTCCGGGCCAACCGCTGTTAAAGAACTGTTCACCCCAAGCCTTTGCACGGCGCGCGCGGTTTCGGAAGTTGAAGAAATGGGTTCTTCTTTTTGGGGCCGGGGCCCTTGAAAGCGTGCCAACGCACCGATGGAGGTCGTCAAACGCGGGATCGAGGCCTGAGGGACCTGGGACCGGAGAAATTCGGAGAAAGGAAAGAGCCTGCGCCGTTGCGCGTAAGCTCAGGCGGTAGGCCGACTCCATGAAGTCATGCACCAAAAGCCTCGATGCTTTTGGGTCAAGGCGAGACGTTCTGGAAATGCGGGACATATATGAGCGCCCAACTCGAGAAGCGCGAAGACCGTGGGCAGTCCCGCAGACCTTACACGGATGCTCCATTCACGAAGGCCACTCCCCGAAACCCCAGCACACCGGCCAAGAAAAGTGGCACCTCAACCCGAATTGTTGTGTATCTCTACTTGGCAAAGCCTGTTACGCAACTGCATACTTGGTCAATTGCTTAGACAGGCCTGTCAGTGTCGAAAGCCCTGCGAAGACAAGAACAACGTTTCAGGCTCTGCCATGCCGCCGAAAAATAAGGCAGGAACGCTGCAGCGTCCCTGGCTTCGGTCCCGCTGCCTCCGTCAAAGAACAGTGGACTTCGGATTGACCTCTGACCGGACCACTGACAATTGCTCAGGTCTCAGGTCGCCTTTCATTTGCCCAACTTCACCAGACCTGCAACACAAGAGGAGTCCTCTGAAGCTGTGACACCTCGCCTTACGATTTTGGTGGCACTTGGCTGCGCCTCAACCCGTCCTTGGCAAGGTCAAAGCTGGCCCCCACCTGTTTGATGCCGCAACGATAATCCGCGGCCATGCACCCAACGGTGATTGGTGCAGCTTCCAGACCAAATCGGATCGGCATTTTGTCCGAACACATTCTGAGTTTCAAGTGGCTCTGCCTATCCAACAGCCATCCTTTGTTGCAGAATGACAACGGCCGAAGCGGCCTCAGAGACCTGCCTGTGCGGGGCACAAGACTTCTAAGCATGCATTGCCTCGACCGCATTGGGAATTCAAACTAACCCTCTTCCCGCGTCTGTCACGGTCGGTCAAGTCCGAATTCAATAAAGTTTCCGCATGTGTGGCGGCCTGCCTCGCCTTTCGCATTTCAATACCTATTCTGCATATTGCACCAGACTCCTTCGGCATGCGGCCTGTACAGTTGCGATAGTCGAGGAGGGGGCCAAGGGGCCGAACAAAGACTTTGCTCGTGGTCACAAGCTGCTGGGCCGCTGCTCTCTTGGCAGACTGCAATATCTCCCGCGAACTCGTGTAAGAGGATCAGCACATCGCAATGCCACTATGCTACCTGACTGAACCTACGAAGGTCTACGAAGCGGCACCTGCTGACGCTTTGCAAGAATAAGGTTCGAGATCGTGACAAGCGGCAACTGCAGCAAATGGCTAGTATAGTGTCTGCAGTCTGCCAGCACCCCCCTCCAACGTAATATGCATCTGCTTCAATGGGTGCGCATCGCCATCCCCACCAAATCACATTAGCATTTCAGCGTAGTGGCCCCTGCAGGATAGCTTCGCATCGGAATCCCCATGTAACTGCACAATCCTACTGCCGCAACACGATTGGGACTTCGGGACCCTTTCCGTACACTTCACAATTCCACAACCTCTGCTGTCCCCACTGCTCTGCTGTACTCTGGTGACTCTGGTGGAATGCTGTACTCTGTTGACTCTGGTGGAATCTGGAATCGCTGCATCCAAACAGAGACGCAAGCTGTTGTCGAGGCATGTGTTAGCTTGGTACACTTCTCGATTTGTTCGTGTCCTCCTTGCGCCGGGGCCATGCTAGCTGCTAGTCTTCTCTGTATCGTTCGACTTTTAGCGGCCCTTCGGGACACTACAATGAAATGAATATTCTCACATGAACTCGGTTGTGTTTTGAAATGCTTGCCAGAAACCTCGAGTTGCTCCGGTGGGCTGGATTTTTTGGGGTTGCGCGCCCGGGAAGCCAGAACTGCACTTCGCTTTGGAAGACTGACGAGCCAGCAGATGGCTGACATCATGTGGCAGCTGAAGGAGTTTTCAATTGTTGCGATGCTTCGCCTTGCACCAGCGCGGAAGCTCCTTGCGATACCTGATAGCAGCACTCTGCCCGCTGTGCAAACTGGAACGTTTAAAGTTGCGCGGAACCTGACGAGCTTTCCATCCAATGGTTCAAAAGGGAAAGCTCGATGCTCTGGCCGAAGCCAACAGCAGCTCAGAGAACTTTGTCCAAGTCGAAGTCGACCTACCTCCCTGCGAAGCCTGTCGGATGTCGTGTCAACACATGCACAGCATGTGTTTTCCGTGGGCTGCATGATGCATGCAAACGAAAACAAACGAGCAGTTGCAAGGAAGTCATGCCAGCAAGATGCACTGCCAATAGATGAGCTAGATAAATGTGACAGTTCCCCGGGAAAGACATCAGAAACGTGGGCCATCAGAGTGTTGCTTCCGACTATCCCTTTTCCACACCTACAGGATAGCATGTTGGCCCTGCTATTTCTTTCGGGGGTTTGGGCTTTTGCATGACATGGTGAACAACGGCTGACAATAGGTCGTTAGCACTGCCACCAGATTCAGACTGCAAAACCAGGCGCGGACACACACACACACACACACACACAGACACAAAGAACCAAGGAAATCCAAGGAAAGCAACCTTTGCCTCCGACCAAGCGTCCTCTTTCGCGAGACCACATTCTTCTGTTACAAAAACCGGAGGAATCGAAGGGAAGGATATAACACAGCCAAGATGATGCCGTCGCTTGTCCACTTCGCCGTGCAATGTTTCGCACACATCCACACAAACACAGCGACAAACAAAGAGATGGACCCATACCAACATGCGCCGCAATCCCAAGCAGGATCACACACCCACCAACCCCAACCCCACGCACAGTTTAGCCCTGGTGCCTCCCCAAAAGCAACAACAGGGGTCGATGAGGTTGGCCGCACTGACTTGTGCACATAAGCACAACTTCCCAACAGTTGGGCGTACATTGCCTTGCATACGTGCCAGATATTTCAACGCAAGCCATCCAACAGGTACCTTCGGACTTGTTGATTTCCAAAAACATGTTCCAGACTTTCATCATGCTGGCAGGTACAGCTGCTGTAGCATCGTCGTGCTCAAAAGCGTTGACCAGGTACTGCGAAAGTTGCACATGCTTTGCCGGCCCTAGTGGAAAGCGCCAGCGGCCTTCAGAAATCTTCGCCATTACACTCTCGCAACTCGGACACGTCCAGACGAGGTTCGTAGACAGCAGGTCGGTTGACTACAGCACATCCCCAGAGGCCCTCCAGAAACAGCCAGAACAGAAGGTAGTGCCAAAGAGGACTGGCCTAAGGGGGCGTGCCAGAAAGGCCCTTGCATTGAAGGGTCGCAAGAAGCCCCGTGCTACCGAGAAACAAAGCAACGCAAGTTAAGGCCATATACTACGTAGCACGGGGCTCTCGCACAACTGCATGGCGAGCTGGAGGACAATGGTTACCAAACAGGAGAAGGACTACCGCAAAAGACAGTGCTTAGTGCGGGACTCAAGTTGGCATGGACTGTCTCAAACAGGCCAGGCGAGGTGAAACTAACACGAAACGAGGTGGTTTCACTAACTCAGAACAGCTGGAGGGACATGCAGAGGAAACGTATCGTCTGTGCAGCATGGAGGCCGTGTCCAGCAGCAAACTCGAGCAGGGGCGAATGTTCACCGTCCGACATCGGTCGAGCCGAAGGCAGACCCCGGGTTGACTATGCCCGACAATCCTTTCCACCAGCCCGACAGACGCACTCATGTCCAAAAGGACAGGCATGCAGGGGAGCCGCTTGCGTTGAGGTCATCTGGAAGCATACGGTGTCACAACGGCGGTTGCCACAGATGTCTGCTTTGATGTCGAGGGTCAACGAAAGATACAGCATCGCCGCAATGCCTGTCACAGCTCTTCTCTGAATGCCCCCGTGCTTCGATTTCCAGGGCAACCCGCATGCACTGAAAACCCAGACTTGTGCAGCAGCTTGGCATTCAAGGGTCTGATACTGCAGGACCGACGTATATGGTCACCGTTAAATGCAGTCTCGCCAAAGGATGGAGTGAAACCAAAAGGGGTCAGCCGTGCTGTATCATGCTTTTGTCTACGCCAGCTGAAAACAAAGTCGTAGTCCACGGTATCAACTCCCGCGGCAATCGAGGAGGTCGTCCGTACAGTGTGACGCTTTGCCCCTACAGCAGCAGATGGCGAAAGCGCGGTATGTAGTATCGACTTCCAGAACAGTCCGGGTCAGACGCATCGCACACCATGGCTTCTCGCGCACAGGCGGGTTCGTGGTTGCTTAATGAAGTTTGGAGGGATGACAAAAGAGCTTGCCAAAGGAGGAAGTTCGGGATTTATGTATGACCAAGGGGCCTAGGATCCAGCACTCGGCCAACCTGGGGGTAACGACGAGGTCACCTACATCATCTCATCACGTCACCACACGACGCGCGTAGCAAAGGCACCGGGGCATCATCACAGGCATGCAGAAAAGAGCACAACATGCAAAAGGGGCATGCAAGTAAGGGCAGTGCAAGCAAGAGCAGAAACGAGTTCAAAGGTGCACAAAGGCAGCAAGCAACCGAGGTCAAGTCCTCGCCTGAACAAAAATCCGAGTGAAGCCACAGTGAAGACAGAGAAGCTCCCAACCGCATGACGCCCTTAGCCGTGAAGGCCCTCAATGGGGGCTGGACTAAGAATCCAGCCCCAACACGGAAGATGAACCCCTAGCCACTGCCAAACAATCGCCTCAGCTGTGCAGTCGAGTCTACCCCAAGCGTCCAGAATGCTGTCCTGAACAAAACGGGCGTCCTGAGGTGAGGCGTACGTTGTAAGCGGGAGATTGTTTAAGGATCGGGGGAACTGCGAAACTACGTAGTCCAGGGAGTCTAGATAGGGGAAAAGGTGATGTACTCGGGCGTAATACCAATGCCAAGATTTCTTGTACTCCCTTACGATGTAACGAAGTTCCCCCGCAGCCCAGCACGCAATGTGTGAAGGCATCTGGTTCAGGGCGGTTTCTACCTCATCTGCTGAAAGAGGAATGAAAGGGCGGAGGTGTCGGGGTTGGACGATTTCAATGTGGGTGTCCTCCATCTTGCACGGAAGCTGCCCACAACTGAAAGCCTTGATCCAGAACTCACACAAGCACGACCGAAGGGCTTGGCGAATCTGAAATTTCCACAACCTCGTCCAAAATTTCAAGCACAGCATGCTGATCCCTGTGCTCTGCCGACAACCTGAGAGCTTCACGCAAACAAAGCTGGCGTAAACGTGGCTGTGCACATGAGGCACAACCGAAAAGTGATCTTTGTATGGCTTGCGGGGAAGGGATCGGGAAGCCTAGCTGCAGCAAAGCCCTACGCACATCGTCCGAAAGAGTACCACAGTGGAGCGAAGAAAATGTTACTAGAGTTACCCGTAGGTCTGGGGAGGAGCGAGGATGAATGTAAACGGCGTGCAAACGATTTCTAGCATCGATGATGCGAGGTTCATTCAAGTTCCAGACTGTACCAGCGAGCTGTTCTCCTCGGTATGGGAGAGTAACCTCCCCAATGGGATCCTGGACCCATGGACCTTCACCATAGGGGCAGTGGGTAAGGGTTTGCACACTGCTTGGAATTGGCCCGTTACGGTAGTCACGATGTACCTTGTCCATGCAACCACGTCGTATAACAAAGGTAGAATAAAGGTGGGTAGGACAACTGCGAGCCATGTACTTATTAATGACCATACTCATAAAGGGCATTTCGGAACTATGGGTCAGGCCTGAGTCCGGGCATCGGGGTGACACTCCACTCACTAGATAAGCACCTGACGGAGAGGGGGAGGGAGGCATCCTGCTGAAAAGATGCAAGACATCTTGTTTGCTGGGGTACGTGGGACCAACAAGAAGCTTGTATGCTCGAATCTCAATGGGCTGTAGGAGTGGGCTGGGGTGGAAGTCATGGCATGCTAGGTACCAGGGCTCATGGGGGTCACGCTCGGGGAGAAGAAGATCCTCCTTGAGCAAAGTAGCGGGAGAACCTTGGGGCGGCAGGGGCAACATAGGCAGTGGTTGCGAAGCATCAAGTTGTGTGACACCTACCTGTCCCTCATCTAAGTCATCATCAAGCACGATAACATCAGCCTTACTGGGCGGCACCTTAGTGTCGCCAGTATGTTCGAGGACGATGGGTGTGAGAGGGGGTGCCACCAACCTACCTAGCGACCACATCTTGTCGAGCTGAGAGCCCAAAGTCTACAAAGGGTGACGGAATCATCCTGAAAGTCGAAGGCAAGCACTCGACATGCACACTCGGTCTTTTACTGGTCCGGAGGACTGGCGCGGTTTGCAAGTGCGGGCAGAGCAAAATGTACAGGCCGGCATCATGCAAAGGGCGAGCGGCGGCAAGGGTCATGCAAGGCTGCGCCGGCGTATCAACATTATGGCCAGACCATATCCGAGATACAAAATGGCAGCGAATTCAAGAAAGGCAGTGCAAGTAAGGAAAACAGTCCGGCATGAATTCACAGTGGGCAAGGTGCATGCAGCAAGGCAAAACAGTCCAACACAAGGTCGTGCATAAAAGAGTACTAAGGTCGTGAAAGTGAGCATGGTTTCACAGAGGGAGTCTAGAGGCTAGAAGTGCCTAGAAGAAGCACGCCTAGTTATCATGATGTCCCTGGAATACTGGGGCTCTGTACGAAGGTGGGTGCGACGACACCACTGGCCTCTCGCACATCTCCTTGATGCTGTGCACCACCTCGCTGGTTTGGCTGAGTGTGGTCTTCAGGTCGCCGACCTCGGTCTGGGTGAAGTTCAAGGCCGCCAGGATCTCGGAGGCGATCCCCTCGAGTTTTTGGTTGTAAACCTGAGAGGAGTTGAAGTCCGTGTTGGTGATCTTCTTCAGCACCTCCTTTATGCCGTCAACCAGCTTGTTTTCAGTGGCTGACAGCCACTGGCCCTGCTCAGCATGGTAGTCCTTGGCCTCCTGTTGGGCATCTTCACGGTGGCCTCTCACATTGCCGGAAATCGTGCTGAGAAGCCGGACGTTCTCCTTGAACCCCTGGTCCACAGCTTTCTGGGTACTGTCCACATTGGCCCCCATGGGACCGATCTTGACAGCAAACACCCCAATGAGCTTCTCGATGGCTGCCAAGCGCTTGGGGACCTCGCTGAGATCTGCCACGGAGGCCTTAACCTCGGCAAGTGTGGTCATGAGTCGCTTGACGTCACTGTGGGACAGCCTGACGTCCCCATGTACAGCATGCATATCATCCAGAAGCTTCTGCACCGTGATGGGCTGGGCACTCGATGCTTTCGGTGGCGGGGTGCCAGCGGCTCCTGAACTCGGGGGACCAAGAGCCTTGGGGACCGCAGTGGTCGAGATCTGCCCATCCTTGGGAACCGAAGCATCTGCACACTTCGCCATCAGCCTTGTTGCCGACTCCAGTCGCATCTGGAGAGGTCTTGGCAGGCGTCGGCGAACCCATAGTAGTTTGACTGTCACCAGAATCCACGGTCTGAGTGGCAGCCCCGTCGCGGGTGGATGCACCCGAGCTGGGTGAAACCACAATAGTCGTCTTGTCGACCTTTGCAGCTGTGGGTGCCTGTGTAGACGACACGGGCGCTTCGGAGGCTGCAGGCGGGGGGCTTGTGGTATCCCCAGCTGAGCGTGGTTCCACCGGCGAACCTGGCTCTTTCTCCTTGCGTGGTGGGCCCCTGATCATCGACAGGAACCCCTGAATAGCGAAGATCACCAAAATGGTGAAGGCAGCCGTCCAGAGCTGGTCCCGGTACGGCACAGAAGTCGCTGTGCCTGCGCTGCCGGGAGCGCTGGGCCGATGGCGTCCATGGCTAGAGGGGTGAGGCAGGGTAGAGCGGCTGCTCAGCCGCTCAGCTTGATATTCCAGATTCTGCAAAGAAAAGCATCCCGAATTTACCGGCCGTCCTGCCCCCCCCAGTTTGCGTCCCGAAAGTGAACTCAAACATGCATGCGAGAAACCTGCTGCAACTCCGCAAAGAACCTAGCTTCTGTGAAGTTAGCGGATCGTACCAGGAAATTGAAAGGGGTCGGGAAGGGTCCAGTTACCGACAACATAGAAGTCTGTATCCAGGGAGGGGGCTGTTTGGGCTGAAGCAAGCAGAGACAGAAAGTCATGAGCGACCTCTATCCTCTCATGACTAGTCACTTCCGCAAGTTTGTACAGCGGTACACGATGAGACCAAATGTGTTGTCCAAAGGCAAGGATGGGAAGGAAGCATTGGCAGCGGGAGTCTTGCAGCTCGGGCAAGGCTTCGTAGAGCTTAAAAAGCATATCCCACAACAGGAGACGCCTATCAAGCAAGTCCGCGGGGCTACGTCCCTGTAGAAGGATTTGTTGGTGGGCAAGTCGTTGGTGTGGCACTACAATCAGGGATATAGCCTGCTCGTCAAACTGGACCCAAACGAACCACGATGAACGTGAGGGTTGCCCGACTAGCAGCTTCTGCACATTACAGCTGTAAGACTCTTCTGGGAAAAGTCTAGCAGGTCGAAGTACAGCGATATCTCGGCCGACTATGAGTAGCTGCCTGTCATGCAAGAAAACGTCTTGGTAAGAAAGGGATGTTTTCTGGCACTCCCAGTACCGAAGCCAAGGTTCAAGCGCAGATTTCCAGGCAAACCGATCCGAAGCTAGGAGCTCGATGGCCCATAGGGGCGAGTTCCCCCGAAAATGACACCAAGCACTATGGAGCTGAAGTCCAATAACGGACAAGCATTGCTGCAGGTCGTGTAGTTTGCCCTGAAGGTCCTCGGCCGAGCAACCCAATACTAGGATATCGTCAGCGTACAGCAAGAGGTGTGGTAGGTTGAATCTACCGAAAGCTGGGTGCTGGGTGCGGGCCCATCGGGCGGCAAGGTCTCCAACAAAGAAATCAAGTACCCGGGAGAACACATCAGCCGAAAAGGAGGTGCCCTGTAAAATCCCCCGTCCAAGTTTCTGGGACCATGCCGCGCTGCCGAGTTGCAGATCCACGAAAGTGTTGCAACAAAGGCCCCACAACACACTAGCTTCTGCACAACTATGGGTTGCAAGCAGAAAACGGTAGAGGGCCTGATGGCTTAGGGTGTCGAAAGCTTGAGAGATATCAAGTTTCATAACGTGCAAACCCTGGCCTTCAGCACCTCTAAAGAGTTTCATACTGGCCTGAGCACAAGCGACGGCTTCAAGACTTTGAACCCCGCGCCTACATGCATGTTGTCCTGATTTATAAGCGGGGAAGGACTGTTGGAGTCGGGTGATGAGGATGCGGGAAAAGATTTTCCCAAGGCAGGGGGTAAGGGAGATGGGACGAAGATCCTTAGGTTTGCAAGGCCGAGGAATTTTAGGGAGAAAGCAAAGCTTACCGCGGGTCCATGTCGGTGGAACAGGTAGCTCTCCAGAGAGTATCTTGTTAAAGAATCCAACAAGCTTCAAGGATGAATCTTTCTCAAAGAATTCTCGAACTGCAGTATAACAAACCGCATCTTGTCTCGAAGAGGTGTTTGGACGCGAGTGTGCCAACGCCTCGCGGACCTCGTCCGGTGAAATCGGCTTAGGTGCTACTGCATGGTGTTGCTTAAGGGCTTGGACTTGCTCCTCGGAGACAACCCTATCACCCGGCGCGAGTTCGTACTTGCGTCGATAGAACTCACACATGCTATGAACGGCCGCTTCCTGGCCTCCCAAACGTTCAATAAAACTGCCTTCAGAAAACGTCTGAGAAGCACTACGACGCAAGTGTGTAATAGCTGATCGGTCTCCTGAACGTGCATCAGCCAAAAGTTGTAGCTTGTGTTGTCGCTGTGCCTCAACACGAGAGACATGAATCTGTTTCATGATGCGTGTGCGTTCGTCCACGTCAGCAGTGACTTTACGTTGTCTGATGAGTTCACGGATAGCCGGGGGGTCACAATATTTACGAGATGGGAGACCAGACGAATGGGAGCGACATAAGTCTCCAAAAGATTCCTGCGAGAAGACGAAGTCTGGGTCCTGAGCAGCCGTAGTCAGCGCATCAAGAGACGTAGACCATCTGGGGACGTGATCGGAGGGTAGGGAAACTTTAAGGTCTCTAAGCAGATGAAAGGAGGTTTCAACCCCGGGCCAACGATAGAAAAGCCAATCAATTGAGCTGAATTCGTTGCGTGCCTCCCAAGTGTTTCCTAGCAAAGGGCTATACTCAAGACCCCGATGTCGAGCAAGGAAAAGGAGGCGTGCCAGTCCAGCAAAGGTTGAATTCGGCAAGGTCAAATTCTGATTACAATCGAACCCCAATAAGATAGAGTCACAAAAGCGTGCCGTGCTCAAAGCTTCATCCAGTCCTGCAAGAGATGAAAGCCATGCTTCGGTGGCATCGCGTCGTTGTTGGTGCGGAAAGTGGCCTGTGCCTAAGAACACCCGGCGACCAAAGGCCATACATTCGAGAACAAAGCCCACTCCGAAGGAAACCCGGGATAATACTCGAAGGTCAAGAAGGTCGCGAAACAGGAGCCCCGTGGCGTGGTGGCTTAAAGGAGCCTGGTTAACGATGACTGTGCATGTCTGTGTCCAGCTAACTCAATGTGTTCCATGCGAAAATCGCATTGTGAAACGTCAGAGAAACCACCTAATTCCTGCAAAAACATAAAGTCCCAAGGATCTTCAGTGCGGTCGAGCAAGGATTTAATTGAATGCAAAGTTTTCCATGGAGATTCCATGTCATTGCACTGAATTCAGGCATCGGCATAGGCGTGCGTTTGCGGCGGGTGGCTCGGCTGCTTGTGGAGGGAGAGGGGGCTAGTCACGCTGTTAGCTCAGCTTCAATGTCCTCCTGATTACGGGGCAAAACCCTGCTCAACACAGCGAGGTCAGTCCACCATCCTGACTCATCCCCCTTGGAGTCGTTCAGGAGTAGGGAATTGTCGTGTGGCTTATGCTGACTAACATGAAAGATGACTTGTTCCCCGCGAATCCAAAGCTTACCTTTCCAGTCAAGGTCTATAAACATGGGGTTAAGGTGTCTCGCACAATACTCTTTAACCCCAACAAGCGCGCGAATCCTAGCCCGTTCTTCTTTGCTACGATTACGAGAAGCCCAAAGTCTCGAATCAAGTTGCTGAGGAAGGAGGCTTGTCGGGTTGGTTTCAAAATGTTTCTTGAGTGCTTTCAATGTCAGATTCTGAACCTGCCTACGTTCGGCGAGTCGATCAGAACCGAACTGCAGCTCGATCCTAGCAAAGTTACTGCGGATGAACGGGGCGTGTATATCTTTAAGAAGGGGAGCAGCCTGAAGCTCGGAGAACGTCGATGTCGCTTTTGCGGGCTTCTTTCCACCCACCGACCACGATCTGCAGATCGTCCACAATGGGATGCCCTCCTGAGCCGGCTGTCGTGCTGCGGGGGCTGGATCCTGGCCCCGCATTGTAAGCTCGATGGGGCCCCGGGCTGATAGAGCGCCCGGCCTTCAAGTCTCGCATCTGGTTTTCCATCTCGTCCAAACGGCTTTGAAAGCGCTTCTGCAAGTCTGACATTTCTTGCTGTCGTTGATCAAAAGTTGACATGCGTTCTGTAACCTGGTTAATGCTTGCCGTATGCGATCGAAGTTCCTGCATCATTTCGCGTTGACCCCCCTGAAACAAGTCCCGAATTTCCGAAACCCAGGGGGGAGGACTAGGTGCATCCATATGGTAAAACTCAGGTCCTCTAGAGCCTTCTCCTTCCGCCCCAGATGGAACCGCCGCTCCGAAGACGGGGGGTTCACGAAGTCCTGAAACGGGGCAGGGTCCTGCAGGTACAGAGGGCATACCTGGTGTTCGGCTGGGTGCTTCCGAAGCCTTAAAGCGCTTCTCAGGGCTGGTAGTGGCGGCGAGGTTTTTCTTAGTCCCTCCATTCTTAGCCGGAAGTCTTGGCTTGTTTGAAGTGGACTGGAGGGCAGCCACCTGATAAGGGTTCAGGGCCGGGGGATCAGTGAGGTCGGCAGTAGCAGCAGCCAAGGCAGCATGTGCGGCAGCAAGGTCTTCAGCAGTAGGCTGGCCTGAATTCACAGCAGCTGAATTCGCAGCATGCAAGCGGCTTTCATCTTCCCGCAAGTCACCCATCCTAGCATCACCGGCAGCATCACCCATCACGAGACGACGAAGGTTCGAGGGAGAAGGGGCCGAGTACCGGAAAGAAGAGTCCTGGCGCTATCTGTCTACGTCCAGAGCCGATATGCCTTGAGCCGTAGGCGAAGATTCCATTTTCAGCGATTGCCGCAATGTCCCAAGATGGCCATTTTTAGAATCCTGCATTCATGGCAGCGCGGATATTGCCAAGCCCGGAATGCCAAATACATGCTCTGGTGTGTCAGTGGCCAATCGAGACTATAGAGAGCAAACGCGAATGACCTGCTAGTCCTGTGAAATACTTGGCTGTGGCACCTAAGCGAAATCTCGCTTTTTTCTTTCTTTCTGCAGGGCTTAGGGGTCGTCCGACCCTCAGGCCATAGGCCCGCCCAACCCACCCACTGTGTTAGTGAGCGGTTGGCTTTGGGGTTCTTCCAGATTTCGGCATGGAACTACTTGGTGTGTCCCGGGTTTTCATGTAGCGAGCCCTGCCCTTTACGCTAAACCTCCTGCGTCCCGGCCTCTTCACCGCGCCCCTGTGGCAACCACTTCCCCTGCAAGGCTCGCATACACATGTTCCCCCGGTAGGACCACTGTTCAGAGCACGGGCTAGCATACTGCGAAACAACTCTTAATGGCATGTGTACCTTACAACATAACCTCGACTGCGCTCCATGCTGCTGGTTCCCCCACAGGGCTTTCGAAAAGTTGGCGGGGCGTGTGGGTTCCCGGCGAGTGCAGGCCGTTGGAAAAGACACCTAGCTTGGGCACCCCAGTACGTAGCAGTAAGTGTTCTGCACTCGTCGGTCACCCCTCTTCGTGTTGGGCTTCACGCCTGCTGTGGCACAAACTGTAGCGTAAAAGCCCCATGCTTCAAGACACACACCGGTAAAACGCTGCAAGTGTACGCGGGCGAGCTTCCCCCACGGTATGTGAAACTACTCTACGCTACAGGGGTCAACTTGTGAGCCTCAAGTACAACACACCTGACCGGTCACACGCTAGATGCAGGTACAGGATCTCAAGGCCAATATGCGAGTGTGGTTCCCCCTTGTTCTCCCCTGTTGTGGAGTTTTTGCGAAAACGTCTGCTACGGCTATCGGGGCTGCACTTGTGGGCCTGAAGCAACAGGAACCGGTCCTAGCACAAGTAAACCTAGGGGTCTCCAGGCCTGTGTGCTCCCCGTCTTGCTCAGCAGTGTGGCCTCCTGGGCCCTCGCCTGGGGAGGGCGTCTTGTCAAGACAGCACACTACCATCACATCTCGAGCACGAAACCACTGGAAAGGCCCAGCTGTAGAAACTCGCTCTCCCCTGGTCCTGCTGCAGTGCGGAAACTGAGGCTGTCCCTTGCTCGCTCAGACCGGTTGCCCTGCTGCAAGTAACCTTCCCCCACACACAACACACCTGCAACCTCGTAACGGGCCCAACCTAGTCATCATGATCCAACGAGCTCGGGTTGCTGAAACGGCGTCGCAGTTCAGGGGTGGAGCGTCGTCTGGCCTCAGTCCCTGTGCGCCCCGCAGCGGTGGTAGGCGTTGGCGAGGTTCTGGCCGCCACGTGGTCCCCCCCGCCGTCGTCGGCGAGGTCTATGACCCCCTCTTCTTCTCCCCAGTATGTGTGACACGTGTGAGCCCATTCGTCCAGCTCGTTCAGGGCCTTCATGATTTAGTCCAGGAGCTCCCCCGTCAGGTACGGCGCGAGGTTGCGCAGTGTTTTGCGGGCCTTGAAGATCTTGAGCGCGTCCGGCGCCTTTCTCTCCGGCCTGCCTTCATCTGCCCCCCCTGCGAGGGCGATGACGTCCGCCGGGTGGGCTGTTGGCAGTCTTTCTGCTTCGCCCTTGTGCGGGTAGTTCCCCACCAAGACTTCAACTCCATCTGCCGCTGCGTCCAGTAAGTTGCGCAGCCTCCCCAGGTCCATGTTGCCCACGGGGTAGGTCGCAATCATCGTTTGGATGACTGTCTCGGCGTCTTCCCCCGCGTCTGTGGCGTCGTGCGTGCGCTGCCAGTTGCTTGAGCGCAAACCTCCCCACAGGAGCGCCTGCCCACTCTGTGTGAGCTCAAGGATCTCATGCAGCGAGCTCCCCCTCAGTCGGTGGATCTCCCCGGGCAGCTCGCTCGTCAAGGATCCCTGCCATGAGCGCGGCAATCTGGAACGCGTTTGGCGAGGGAGGGGGGCTTCTCCCCCTTCTTCCCATCTGTCCATCCGAGGCTAAGCTGAGGCTGGTGGCTGCGGCGGCTAGGTGTGCTTCGACCCCGTGCAGCTCAATGGCACGTGCTAGTGACATCGCTTCCTGGATGTGCTCTGCTGCTGCCGCTGCTCTGGTGGCTGCCTTGCTCCCCCTGGCTCTTTCCTCCCCTTGTGCTCTGCGGTCGCGGACGTATGGGTCCGGGCTTTCGTCTTCCCCCTGGGCTTGTTCTGCGGCTGCCAGGGTTTCCTCCGAAATGCTTCGCATGAGCTCTGCGGCTTGGTAACGTGCTTTCTTGAGGGGAGTGTCGCTGGAGCTGGCCGCTTGTCCCCGCTTGCTTTCTCCATCCTGTGCTTGGGGCTCGGTTGGGCCGTGCAGGTCAGCGTCTGTGACGTTGTCGTTGGTGGTGGTGTTGTGGGGGCCTGCTACCCGAAGGGATGGTGCGTGCCATGGCACTGTTGTGCCGGTGTCTTCCATGCTGTTGGTTGGGCTGTGGTCGTGACAGGTGGGGGCTGTTTCGCCGTGGTGAGGTGCTGTGCTGCTCTCCCCCCGTGTCAGCCTGAGATCTTTAACCATCTGTTTCACATTCTTCAAGGTTTCCTCGGCAGGGGTGTCATCCCCCCATCCGCCCATAATGAGCGCGGGTTTGCGCCCCCCAAAGTCCGTGTCCGCCGTGCTAGAGGCCCCTGTACTCTGGATCACTTGCACCTTGTTCTCGAGGGCCTGGAGTCTGGCTGACATAGAGTACTGTTCCCCCTGGATGGTTTCCACGATTCGTTGCTGCTCCCCCTGCTGGTTGGTGATGGCGGCGAGGCGTTCCAGGGTGCGCTCCAACTGCGCCGTGACTCCTGTTTCAACTCGGTCCATGCGCTGGCTGATCTCGGCACGGAGGGTGCTTGTACTCCCCGTCACTTCACTGCGCACCACCTCACGGATGGCTTCCAGGCTGAGCATGGCTGAGCTTTTCTTCTTCCGGTGCCCCCCTCTTCTTCTGGGCCGGAGGCGAAGCTGGGTCCGTGGCCATTGGGTCAGTCATGACCCCCACACGTAGGCAAGGAATGCTAGGTCGCCCTGCGTGCCACTATCACGATCAGGTAGGTGTTGGTGTCCCCGTTCGAGGTGGATGGTGTCCCGGATCGACGGGAGGCCGGCGAGGTCCTGTAGGGCCGCCGAAATTGTTGCAGTAGCGGGTGTCAGGCTCCCGAAGCAGCTGCAAGTAGGCCGCCGACCCCGTCGTGGAACAGTCCCGACTATGTCCCCGTCCCGCACCCCCTCGAAGAACAGCGCACTCTGGCCACTATGTCCTCCCGGTCGCTGATGGCTGAGGCGGCTCAGGCAGGAGAAGAGGAGCGCCCGGGTTTGAGACCTGCCGCCCCTAAGTAGCAAAGGAAAGAAGAGAGAACCCCGGGCAGTGCTTGGAGCGGCACGGCCTTGAGCACTCGTGGCTTGAGCCAAAATTTCGCTCTCTCTCTGTCTCTGCCTCTGCGGCTCTGTCGTTGTCCGCCTCTGCGCCCGAGTGTCGGGTAAGGGCAGGAACATGGCCAGAAAAGGGGGCGCGCGTGTGCGATTCCGCGAGCCCGCGAGTGATCGCCCGTCCTCGAGCATCGTGCGCACATGCGCGTGCACAACGATGCCAATGTCAACATCATAGTGCAACCCTGAAGACCCCTCCGATCGCCTCACTGGTCTTGACTTCCAGCAATCTCGGCGCAGTCTGTGATGTCTCTCCGACACGTCGGACCTTAAGCGAGCAGGCGATTGCTCGCACAGCTCGGTGGTTACCACACGCAGAGCTTCCAGAGTCCCTGAACTCGTTCTGTCAAACACCCTGGCATAACGCAAACAACAAGTCTCCAAATGAACATACATGAACAGCATACTGCGAGGCTCAGGCTCCGCCGCAAGGACCTGCACTTGTGCTGTATTCTGCGTCTTTCGACAAGTTACAGCATCGGCTCTTCTCTTGCAGCCACTCGTCGACGCAGCGAGCGTGAAAGGAATGGCCTGAGACTCCACCGGCTGCAAGCAGACGGTTGTCTCTCGGATGTCGTAGATGCATTCACGCCAAACATCATAAAAGCACGTTGCGCAAAGCTTAACCTCGCAACTCGCATCATCATCATCATCATCGTCAATTCACCATTTCAAGTAGCTGTCACACCATTTGAAGACGAGAGGCGGCAAGGGAGCGTCCGGAGTTCGTCTCCAACTGCGAAGTCATCAAGACAGATGTGGCACTGAAGATCATCACTGCCCTCACAGAGACCTGTCGAACGAGTATTCGAGCGAAGCTGTGCTGACAAGCTTGGCAATGCGCAGGAACCATGAAACTCAATCTAAGCCTCTGGGAATGGCATCAGGTGAAAATCTCCACAGGGCAAGAGAAGTAAGAACTTCCTCCGTGGCACAACCTTGCAGCATCTTGCAGCGGACGTTCAAAAAGACAACAAAGGCGACAGGCTACAGCACAGCTATTTTATCAAGCAATGCCGTTGCGACGGCAAGTGGCTAGTGGAAGTTTTAGTCTTGACCTCGTCAGCAGCTGCTGTCGCCTCCACACGGACTCAGGAAGGCACATTCTGCCTGTGTGTTGACCGCGCGGGTGATTCATGCCACGCGAGGTGCAGCAAACTTGACCCACTCCGGCCTGGCCTGAAGGGAAATATACAGCAGGTATTCGAAAACATTCGAGGCGGCCACCTCTGCCGGTGTAAAGCCATCTCGTGTACGCAAGGTTGTCGAGGCACCAAGCCTGGCTAGCCATGGCACGAGACGTCACATAAACCAGCCTGCTGCACACTTTCGCGACATGCTTTGACGGATGGTCAGTGCCACACTTTCACATGCATATCTATGCTATGCGCCGTGTAGCAGCTCAAGACACATGCGTGCTAATGGATTCTGTTAGCATCTGCATCCAAATGCAGCAAAGAGTCTCGAGCAAGTTCTGCACGGCTGACAAGTTGCCCTGCGCGTCTGACAATGACAAGTCCCAATATCGCGACTTCGCCGACACTGACTTCAGCAAGTCACACATCGAATTGGCAGCATACTGGGGAAGACACAGTCATCAACCCAACGCATATTTCTATCGGCATCCTCGCCAGACCACCACCACCGAGGCACCGCCAAATTTGCACGAGTAGCTTTCTTTTCTTAAGAAAGTTAGGTCTGCTGCATCGCCACCCGAAATAACTGGACACATTGCAATCCCTGGCGTGAGCTACCTTTTGTTTTCTCTCCTTCCCATGCTGTAGTCTGACTTCAAATCTTGGTAGGCATAACGAAACTGATTCTGGATTGCGAGGAAAAAGGCCTCTTGCAGGTGTACTTCCGAGATTCTCACACTTCGAGCGAGATGGACTGGCGAAGGGGCGCAACAATGCCCTTGCGCATGGGTATCCTGTTCTGTGACAATCCTGCAGGCTGCAAGCCTGCATCCAATCAATGTCTGCATCTTTTACATGTCATCATCAACTCGGCAATCGACCACTCAGTCTGGGGCATCTTGGCGCCAGACCCTTCATTCAAATTTGCCGCCGGCATCGATAGTGCAGGGCGCTGCAAGGGTCGGCTCTTTCATGCACCATGGGATTACATGAAATCCACATCATCTTATTTCGCAGTGCATCCGCGGCTGTTCATTCCGAAAAACGCCGGTAATTCAATCGAACGCTGGATTCGGACCGAGTGCCGAGGGTCGTTCCCGATCTGACACTTTCGGTATCCTCCAAACCCTGCACCACACCAGCTCCACCACCCCTGTGAGCATGCTCTCGCACCCAGTGCCGGACTGTGCTGTACCGCAGGTTTCGCATGTCAGCTCCCGCGCCAGCAGTCTCAGTTCCGGCTGCAGCTGCACAGCTAAAGCTTATTAAATAATATAGCTCTGAGACTGGAGTTCTGTGAAGACTTGCTAAATGTTGACACTATGAGGCATCCGTGAATACAGTATGTTGGGACCTTCCTGGCTGCATCGCGGGCATCAGGAACTCTGAAGGAGATGGTTCATGCCATTCCAGTGTAAGCATCTCACCTTGTAGGCGGCGTGGTGCAATGCCGACCATCTACCACCAGGCTGGCAGTTGATCAGCTCGGGGGATTCGGTGAGCATGTTCCGCACTTGCGAGAAGTTGCCAGCCTGCTAGCTGCTAGCTGCTTCACATGCCGTATCGTTTGAAAGGCTAGGGCGGCTAGGTGACGCTTTAACGCAACAAGTTTCAAGCACCATGCTAGAACTCGAACTTGCTTGCCCCCCAGCATGCATGCAGGCATGGCGGGGCTGAGCAAAACCTCTCCTTGGCAGCATCGAGGAAGCGGTGCTGGTTCACGGCACCATTGGAGCATTCGTCACGTGTCCGCCTTGAGCTACCAGCCTCAGTCTGGAGGTCAGCACAGCAGCCACAGCATCTGCTCAAATTGCTTGGGACCGAACACCACCCTAACAAACTCGGTGGTTTGGAGCATCGTCTAACGATCTGATCTAACACCTTGTCTTGATGTTCTCATCGCCATCGTTAATCATTAATGCTTGGCCTCCTGCTCTTGCTTCGGTCATTCACCTCCACTCCCCCTGCTACCAAAACAACAGGGTCCGCGAAGTCAGTGAATTACAAGGTGGGTGGGCTGAAATCTGGGTCGGAATGCTACTAGTACTACCAAAAAGCTTGACTCAGCAAACATGTGTGCCATGTTGGGGTAAGTGTATTATTTAAAAAATCTCGGCTGTTGTTTGCATTCATGGGCGCGGCCCGGCGAATTCAAAACCACGTGAAGGAGTCAAGAGAGGGGTGTTTTGCTTTTTCACAGGACACCCAGCGCTGCTATCCCTGAAACGATCCAAGCCAAGCGATCGGAGAGAAGATGTTCGCTGGCGAACCCCAAACCCAGAAAGGAGGTGGCATCCGGCCTAAAAGGAAACCCTTAGCACCAAAAGGAGATGGTGAGGGGAAACACCAAACTTGAACAGAGACGTTGGCTGGCAATCCCAAAGCCCTGAAACAAGTTCTTGTATGCAAATGGAACACACCAAAAACTGCACAGGGGATGTTGGCGGTTGTTGGCAAAGGCAAGATCTGTGCGCCAAAGGAAAGCTTGGACCCTAAATTTCTTCTTAACGGATGCTGGTTGGCACACCCGAGTAGGCGGAAGTTCTGATTGGATTGCCTCAAACCCTCAAAGGAAATCTTTTTGGCAAACCCTGCACGCCAAAACGAAACCCGGAACTCTCAAGGGCTGGAGAAACCCAAACGCTAACCGAAGAACAAGGCCGAAACCCCCAAATGGAAATGTTGGTTGGCGGACTCTAAGCTGTAGAAGAAACCCTGAATTTCTGGGGATCCGTCAGAAGATGCTGGTTACTTGGTTTGCAAGCCCCAAACCCTAAACGGAATTGTTGCTTGGCCCTGAAAGCAGACCCTCAACACTGAAAGAAAATACTGGCATATACTGGCTCACAAACCCAAGCCCTAAAGACCAGATACTGTTTCACCATGCCTGAACCCTCAAAGAGTGCGAAGGAGCAGAAGCAGACGCAGAAAAAGCAGGCAACGCAGGCAAAGCACGAGCATCGGCAGAAGCAAGAAGCATGCCGGCGTTGATCGTGCCAGGCATTGCGAAAGCAGCAGATCATGACAAAAGCAGCACATGATGCTGAGCTCTCGGATCGTCCTCAGCAGGCGAAGCCAGCAGCGAAGCAGAGCGAGCGAGCGAAGCATGCGAGGCGCAGCGGGCTGCGTGGGCACTATCATCGGGCTCCACGGCATCCCGTGCGACGGGCGTCACTAGTGAAGAACCGACAGTCGAAGGGACACGAGGGGAACCGATCGGAGTCGCCAGTCTCTCGGTGGCGCGACCAACCACAGGTGCCGAACCTGGTCTGAGCCAGGAAAACGGTAGTGATCGAACGCTTGTTGGATCAGGCGTTCCGAGTGCCTAAGCGGCAGCAGCAGAGCAGCAATCCACAATCGGATGCAGAGGTCCAACGGCTAATAACCTGTAGAAAGCAGAGCAATCCCCTCAACTCTCGATCACAAAGCCCTGGGCAACCAATCTGGAGGAGTTCCAGTGCCCTAAGAAAATCGTCCCCGCCACTCATAGAATTCTGCGACCAGTGCAAACCCAGGACCCCCAAAGGAGGGATGCTTGCCATGGACCATATACTCCAAAACTGGAAGAAAATGATGGCTGGGAAGCAAGGACCCTGGCAGATTGTACGGCTGCTTGTTCGGTCCAAAACCGGACATGATGAGTCGCCAACCCAAAACTTCAAGGCAAAAACCGAATGAGGTGACAAACGCTAAACCGTGTAAACCCTTATGGGGGTGACTGCAGGTCTTGAGAAAGGCCAAACTGCAAAGAACAGATGATGATGATGATGGGCGGCCAACCCTGGAACTCTCAAACTGGCTGGCAAAACCTGTAGATTCTGTAGATCCCAACAGCAAATGCCCAATCCCAAAAATGCAGGGCCATGCAGGGAGGCCCGGGGCCCCCGAACACGACTGCAGGCCGCATCGACAAACAAGATGATTCAGAGAGAGAGAGAGAGATAGTGCGCATAGCGGCATAGCACATATAACAAAAAGAAGACACTCAAAAACTCAGGCGCTGAACTATAACACCCCAAACTCGAGACCTGAAGTCGAAACCTTCAAGCCGTTAGCCCGAAGTTAAACCTGTGACCCAAAACCTGGAATCTATGAAGTTCTGATCCATGGCAACGCCGCCCTCAATCGGAATTTCGCTTTCAACACATGACAACGGCCGAAGATTCAAAACCAGCGCTGCCTGGTCAGCAACACAATTAAGGGCCCTCCGTTCTCCTTTCTCCATGCCTTCTATGCCAGCAGCAGAAGTAGCTGGTAAATGCAACTTTAGTGAGAGTCAGTAAGATTCGTTTCTTATTGGTCTGATCGCACCCCCATGTTGATGCGAAGACTGCACATGATCAGATGCGGCATGATGCGGCTGTCACGACATCTACAGTACGTGCTTGCACGGACAAGCGGCCAAGATCTGCAGGCTGCACATCAGTGTTCGGCAACAGCCGGCAATGTTTCCCATCCTCGCCAAACTCCGGCAAAGGGAACCCTGCAGGCTGTAAGCACCATGCTCTTTGCAAGCGAGAGGCGCTGAGAGGCGCTGGGCAGCTCCAAGGTTTTGCTACTGCCTGCCCCCCTGCTTTTGGAGCCAAATGGTCTGCAGATTTACTGGTAGCAATTAGGTGCAAGTAGCCATGACCGTTGCACTGAGCAAGCGGAGAACCGCTTCAGCTGATTGCCGTCTGAGAGCCCACCCTCTCGAGCTCGACAGATGCAGCGGTCGAGACCAAGTGGATCCTCGGCGGTCATCTTGCAAGAGCCAGGGTGGCTAGCACTGTGACGTTTTTGTTTGCCTCCCGGTCTTTTTGCGTCTCTCCTGAGAGCACTAGCAGCAAGCGGCATTGCGTATCGCACAACGCTTCCTGGAGCGCAAGTGCTAACGCTAATGCCTCCATGCACTCCGGACCTTTGTTCAGCATCGCTAGCAGTCTGAACTACGCGATGATCTCAGTGCAGCTGCATCGAGATGCTGCAGTTAAGAGAGTAGAAAGGCAATGAGTTGCACTGTTCTTGGAGGTCGTCACTTCGTCCACTCGATTGCTCTATTTCTTTCGCCGCAGCGCTTACACACGACAGCCCCAAATATCTCCAAACGCCAGGGAGCCCTTGGTGAAACGATGTCCTAGGTTTCTGTTGCTCCCTCCCCTGGAAGCTCCTACGGCCTATAGCACTGTTGCCTGTCGCATCGATCGAGACTGGAACTGGACAAACCTTCGCTCCTCTGTTTTTCACCCCAGCATCAGCGACCACATGCGTGGTTGTCGGATGTGTCTGCACGTTTCGCGCATCCACATGCTCGTTACCCTGGTTCAACAGCATGTGAGCCCCCACACGCCATGCACCATCCCCTATAAACTGTGCCGAAAAGAGGAACTGTCAAACGTCGATGAGCTATGCACACGCATGCAAACATCTGCAACCAGTGCAAGGATGAAACATGTTCCGGCGTTCCTCGTCAGCAAAGCGATCCCCGCAAGCATTGTGCTCAAGTCGGGCCCAGCAGGTTCTCATGAAGTCGGCAAGGACGGACACTCAGTCTGAAACCTGGGCCAATCAATGCTTGCTGAAATGCCAACGCAGAGACACTGACCTCTCCAACCGGCTGAGCGGTGCGTTCAAACGTAGCCATGCCGCAGTCTGCAACAATCTCGGTAAACCAGGTTCGGACCCCACTTTTCGCCTGACGGTTCCGGGTGCAGTTCTTTCGGCACTGTCGGCACCGACGCTATCTCTCTGTCTTCGCCTCTTTGTACCGCTGCAAACTCTAATTGGAAATATTGAAATCCTCTTGCACGGTGGTTGCATCACGTGCCTGCTTTGTGAGTGTAAGCCTTGTAAGCTTGCCTTGGTCCTTCCAGCGCGTCACGTGACACCTAGTGTTGGGGAGGGCAGGAATCAAAAAGAAGTGGACGAGCCGCAAGTCTTTGGCAGAAGTTCAAGAGGGTGCTGAGCTTATACACCTCCCCTGGCTTTACGCGAGACACCCGAGGACCTGCTGTGCCATCTCGCAGACACCTCGTCCGTTCCCACCACTGCCCCGAGTCTCTCGGGCGGTCAGAGCTCAGCGAGAGAAAGCAACTTCCCGCTTCATTGGTGAATGTGTGCTAATGGGCGTGTGACTTGGCCTAGGACTTCGGAGAACAGCCGGAGAGCTTTCCCATGCCAAGTTCTGCCGACTCTGTGCACTGAAAGACGTGGGCCTTTTAATTAATGCATGCTCCAGTTGAGCAGTCTAGTTCCATCTTGATGGGCAGGTCTTCAAAGATGCTTTGGCAACTGCCCGTTTGCCCCGGTCCATCTTCGCAACTGAAGACCAAACCGGCGGCAATCTGACTGATCACGGTCCTTGTCGTGTCTGTCAAATAAGAGTCCTCTGGGAAGTCACAGTGGCATTCTGCGCACTTCACACAAGGGCTGGAAAGAGGCGTGCATCCAAAGATCCTCGCTCCAGAAGGGCTGACTTCGTCAGACCTTGTCTCGCAATTCCCACACTTGCATTGCATCAGAATCGGCTGATGCTCGCTACACATGTTGCTAATGAAATCCAGGCTTGCACTCCTGGAAGCTCTCACGTACTGAATTAATATTTGTGGGCTTGCCCAGCCATCTGGCCAAAACAGCTTGTACGAGGGAGATCTCCTAAAAGAGTCCGAGAAGTTGCAGGTGAAAGTCTTGTCCTGGCGTCACGGCATCAGGAGTTTTCTGCTCTTGAAGCACGGATGTGGGCTCACCGCCCCCCAGGCCAAACCCCTTACACTGCCTTACACAAGTCTAAGTTGTGATCGAACGCACGAATGCCAGGTCCTGCGCCCCAGTCACAACCCGCGACGTTGAGCAACGTCCAGTGCCACATGCAGAGTCTTCAAGGCAATTGCTGCACATGAAGCCACCCATGCCCTGTTGACATGGGCATTGCCTCAGAACATGGTGTCGACGACATCTCGAGTCCGGAGCGAACAGGTATCTCAATGGAAGCACGGCAAAGAACGTGCCAATCCTTGTCAGCCTATTCCATGTCTGCTAAGTCCCTTTCCTTCGAAACTGGAACGGACCCTCAAAGCCACGGCACTCACAACGGCAAAGCAGCTTGTCGGCAGCTGATCCTCCAGGTGGGAGGGGACACCAGTAAGCACCTGCCATCTAGGAGACATTCACACAAATCTTCATGAGGCTTTCCAAGACAGACTGCAGGGGTGTGGAGTAGTGTCGGCACAGCTCCTGAACCCAAGTGACACGGGCACAAAACTAAAATGCCTGGGCCGTAGTCGGAGCGATACGCGCAAGTCTCGACTCCGCCCGCACAGTGCTGCAGCCCAATGTCCTTCGTTAGGATATGGGAAAACGGATGGGCCCGCCTGTTTCAATGCAAGGAAAACCTCGATTCCGTACATAGAATTGACAAAATCGTGCCGAGGCCTTCGACAAAGACGACTAGACATAGTGGACTGACTGCAACCCTCTTGATTGATTGCTTGCCTGTGGCTGCGAACACCCTCGCACTTGCAAGGCAAAGGAGGCTGCCCTGTGCTGTACTGCATGGGGCAAAATCTTCTTGTCTTTGTTCTCAGGCCCCTCAGGCCCCAGGCGCTTTCACAGTCGAGGTCATGTCTGTCTGCAAATAAGCGGATCATCAATTTTAACATCAACCAAACAACTGATGCATCGCCAAGCGCTAGGAAATTAGAGGCGAGCTGGAAAACGATGGAGCCACCGACTGAGTTTCACACACTCTGCCAGGGCGGATACGCGAAGCGATAGACGGCTCGTTGCTTTGTGCTCACAAGTACCCGGCTACCCGCAGGCTCCCCAACTGGCCAAGGGCTCAACTAAGACGAGACACTCGGATTAGAAGTGCCAGCAATTCGGGGATTTTCCGAGCCATTGCACAGTGACAATCGGCAAACTCGCAACGCGGTACGCCTTCGCATAGAGAGAGAAACGCTATGCTGCCATGTATCGGACCAGCGCCAGTCTTTCGAAGTGGCCTTGTGGATTTCCCGCCCTTCTGCGACTGGATACACGGAGCCCGGAACGGTACCTGGACCGCAAGCTCCGCTTGTGACGCGCACCTAAGGCCCAGAGCTTCAAAGCTCGAAAGAAAAGGCTCTGTTTTTGCTACATTTGAGGTCCCAGGATTGGAACATGTTGCAGCATGGACACCTCACAGCTCTGCCCGCACACGAATGCATTCAAGGTGCCGAGCTGTTGGCAAAGAGTGGCTGCGTGGGGCTCAGCACCAGTCCACCAAACTTGACATCTTGTGAGCCGAGCCTGCTCATCAAATTTCTGCAGACCCAGGGCCCCGGTTTACAACGCACAAAGACGCAATGACAGGAAGTGTTCCAACACCTGCCGCTCGCAGTGTGGATCACGATCGCCAGCAGGTTGACTCGAAAGATGCCAGACATCCACATGGCACGACGTGCTGAAAGCCAAGATGGCAAGTTGCCCGTTCACAGACGACAGAAGGCCAGACAAATAGCATGGCATCTGCCGGGCTTGCAATGTGGCAGATTGGGCCCTCGGGAATGCTGCCCGGCAACGTAATGTTGAATCAGCTCCCCACTTGTCCAACACTCTTTGTCCGGACTCGACGGAGAGGCACAGCATATCCCACACCTCGCAGCGTGAAGCGGCAGAGCTCGGCAAATTCCACCTGCAACTGGAAAATAAAAACATCTTGCAACTCTTGTCCGACAGGCTTCGTGGGCCGTCGACGGCAGGTTCAAGGGCGGGGTTCAAGACGACCTGCACAGAAGCAGCCGACATGATACCTTTAACCCTTTGGCATTCTTCAGCGCACCAACGTAGCAAAGTCGACAAAACTGTCTTACCTACTACACCTGCTGGTATCAGGAAGCTAGTAAACAGTATCCTTGAAACAGTCTCGCCTCGGCAGCGAAACCTGGGCCGCTTTGTGGTCTACATAGACTGCAGGTACTGTCTCTCTGTCTCTTTACCCTTTTTGCTTTGCCCAAGTCGGGCAAAGCAAACCTCATTTGGAAAACTTAGTGAGAGAGACTCAGAGAGGCCAGTCAGGAGACTCTCAGGGAACGAGTAAATCCTTCCGGCAGCATACGGAACATACAAATCAATGAGAAAGTGCATGATGTTTTTTGTCAACAATTTTTCATTGCATCCACACATAGACAACTATCTAATACTGCCGGAAGGTTTGAAGACACCGGGTTTGGCTTTCCAACATCTGCATATGTCTGTACCCTGTAGACTGCGTGCAGTATTCAATCTGATAACTACAAGCCTCCTCAGTTTCACGTCATTTCTGCATTGCATTCTGTCTGCCTTCACACCATGAAATCACTGGGAACTCTGATGAGCATTGGCATTGGCAACGACGGGGTTCCAGCTACTACTCACTGCTCGTACAACTAGTATAGAAAGCCATCAAGCCAACCAGAAGGTCAACCAGTTGACATGCCAGAGTATACATAGAAAAGGGGGTTTGGGGTTCCCACAAACCCTGAGGAACAGCAGATCATGAGCTTCGTCATTGAAGCGGTCTAGCACAGAACCTCGTGCTGAACGTCTATGTACCTGCTTCGTTTCGGAGCATGTGCATGTTCAGCCCCAGCGTTCGCACAGATAACCCTTGCAATGCATCTGAGAAATACAGAAATGTGTCGGTCATCTTCATGAAAGTAGATGCAGAAACAGAGAACATGCTCCATTGAGCATACGAGTCGTCAACCTCAAACTACAATGTCGCAGAAATGATGGCCAGGTTTAATGCTTCCGCAGTTCTCACAGCCTCACGCTCCGACTAAGGAAAACAAACCGCGACAAGTTTCATGTCTTGGAAGGTCCCTTGCAAATAACACGACGTCCTATGATTCCTATGACAGGTATCAACCCAACCAAGAGTCAGGTTGCTCTCACTCACCTGTAGACATACGGGTACAGGTGTCAGCACCCCTCGGATTGCTTTGGCTCTGGAAAGGAAGTCTTTCTGTAGGCCACTCCTGAAGCCAAGACACATACATCTTGCACAACATTGGTGGTGTTGGATATGGCTCAGCAGGATCTGTTTAGTTTAGTTCAAAACAACTCCCTGACGCACAGGCTTTGCAGCGTTGAGTGTCACTCTGAGAAATCGACCGTCGGATTCAGATCGGCGTCGTTTCGTCGGAGCTGCCCCCTCGGAAGATCCGACAACAAAGTCGTACGCGAGACTGCTCACTCACTCTCTCTCTCTCTCTCTGTCTGTCTCTCTTCTCCACTCAGCCACCCGGATTTTGCACACGTTTCGGCCAGGGGTGACAATTTTCTGACGTAACACAACAACTGAAATCCAACTGTCTCGGCCCTCTTCTTCAGCACAGCCAGGGGAGTCGATCTCGGCTCTCTCTCCCTCCACGTTCCACAGCGGCAGCACACTCCAACAACACAATGCCCACAACTATGAAAGATGCACATTCGTTGCTCCAGAAGAATCGGACCAGCGAGAAAAAGACGGAGGCCTCTGCAACATCTGTGGCCTCTCGCTGATCATCCGAAGACCTTGTATGCGTGCTGCTCAAGTGTCGCGATTTGTCCCGGACTGCACTCCCCTTGAAGTTTCGTCATACAATCGTGCAAATTCCAGCCGTGTGAGCCGAAGACTGTTCAAGCAGTGCCTCCAACTCTGCCACCAACCTGGTTTTTTGTCGATAGCTGTGAGCTTACGCTGGAGTTCGACGGGCCTGTCTTCGTCGGGAAAGCTCGGTTCGCTGGGACCGGCAGCGATTCGCTTCACATCGTCCTTCATCGAAGTCGCCGAGCCGCCCGCGCCGCGTGGCTTTGCAACAAGATCGTCCACGCCTCTCTAAGCTCAGACGACGCCAGGGCCACCTTCTTCTCAGCCTGCAGGCGCTGATCATCTCACATATATATATATATATATCTCATATCATATCATTTCCGGTCTGATAAGATCTTGCACTACCCTCCTCATGCTTGCGGAACTCAATCAATGCATCATACCACGGTGACAAAGCGGGACCTCTGCCGTGAGGGCTCTTTGCTCCATAGAAGATACCTGCCCAGATCCCAGCACGCCGGACACCCCACTCGCAGACCGCTCGGACCTTCGCGGCCGTCGCTTTGGCGTCCGCGTGGAGGCCAGCACAGAGCGACGAGAGCCGCTTTGCTTCCGAGGCCTCGGTGTGTTAACCCGACGGCGCGACGGTTCGCCGAATCCGAGTCCGACGGGTCCCAGCGACGGGACAAGAGTGCTCTTGGCGCCGCGTCGCTGAGTACTTTGAGTGCGGGGCTTGCGCTGCAAGCTGCGACTTGGCCTTCCTAGCAAGATATCCCTGCTTCTGCAGGCTTCTGTCACAGGGAGACGCGGCCAGTCCTTTCTTCGGCTTTTGCCACTGCAATCTTCTCCTCTGCTCCTTCTGCAGTCTTCTGCATCTTTGCAAGCTGGTCGACCACTTCTTGGTGCCTCGGCTTGACGCGGGCCCTGGTGTCCCTTTGACAAATGCTGCCATGAGGCTTCTGTTGAAACTTCTCAAGGTCGGCCGCGCATGCTTCGGCCTTTGCTTCTGCTGCCTTCGCAGTCTCCACGGCTCGCTCAGCCTGCTCCGCGACGCTACGACCATGCAACATGCGACAAATCGAAGCCAATCCCTTGCCTCCTCTTCTGCGCGGGAGCTGCTCTGCCTTAAAGCTTCGCACACGGATAGCGCGGCTTTGGCATCGTGATCTGCCTCAAGGGGGCATTTTGCGTCTGACACTCCCAGCTGCTTCCTACTTGCTGGAACACGGTTGAACGTGACTGCTCTCTTCCGGAGCCAAAGTGTGGGCATGTCGTCTTGTCGCGCAAGTTGTCGTCGCTAGGTGGACTTCGGGTCTTCACAAATGCTACGTGCACTTTCTGCACATTGGGCGTTCGCCAGGTCCAGGTCTGATAGCAGTGGACCGTTTAGTCTTCGTGCTGTTGCACCAACTGTGAAGACGTGCGAGCGAGCCAGCAACGGCGCTGAGCAATGCTGAGCAGCAGCCTGGGTCGACTACCATCCCACCTCGTCGTCGTCAGCGTCAAGCAGCGACGGCATCGATCTTTTTCTTCGTGTCGGCTCTCGTAGCTGGCTATGTGTGGCTTCACCGCAGCAGCTCCACTCAACATTCGACAGTCGGTGAAAGTGTTGGCTTCAGTGCGCTAGAATTTCTATGTCGGTTCAAGCGGTCTTTTCCTTGGTACCCTAGATTTTTTCTGTTGGAAAAAGTGTGCTTTTCCGTACCCTGGACTTCTTATGTCTGTTTTTATCTGTGTTGCTAAGTCGGAGAAGCCAGCGGCAACAACTTCTACGAAGGCATCTGCGGTTGCACGGTCATCATCGTGGTGATCGTGGTTGTGGTGGTCGACGGTGGTGGCTCTCGCAAGGGCGATTGATGAGTTGGGAGTCCTTTTAGTTGCTCACGATTCCTTTGTCGTCGCCGATGCTTGAGCCTTGTTTGCCCGTGCCGGGCGAAATCTGGCCGCCTCTCTCAAGTGTTGGACTTCGGTGCGAAAAACAAAAACCCTGCCAGCCTGCATTGCTTCAGCTCGCAGACTTTTGTTCGACACCTTCGCGCACGCGACAAATAAATGATTGGGCGCTGAGCGGCTGTTGGCCATCCTCAGGGGGGGCCTAGTTAGATGGGGACGCATTTGCCGTGAGCAAGGGTGAGTCAGGCATTGAATGCAAATCGGGCGGTGTGATCTGAACCTGCACGGCGTGCAGAGACTTCTTCAGGACGGCGATCTCTGCCTTCAACTTGCGCAGTTGACTCAGCAAGCCGCCATCATCATCGGACTTTCTGCTGACCTGCCTCCTTCATGTTGGCATCTTGCTGAGCCTCCATCGTTACTTCAAAGTTCTTCAGAGCTTTATGTTGGCCAAATCATGAGAAAATCATGGATCGCACCACGAAGCCCTGACCGGCTTCACATGTCTACAACTCCATCAACCCCGCATACCACGACTTGGAGCCAAAAGCAAGGGCTCAAGGGATCCCATATTAGCCGGACATCTTGTGTCGTTGGAGCGGCTCCCGGGGCCTTGACGTCGGCACCCTCCCTAGACCCTGTCAGTACGTGCTGGCCTTGGTTGCTGCTGAAGTTGCCAGCTCTGCTCGATCTGCAGCCGATGACAGAGCGGCGTTCAGGGACGCACCTGGGCACTTTCACTGTGTTACCTTTCTAGCTTATAGGAGTCCGTCACACTGCCGGATGCAAGTAGAGCGAACACAGATCATGGTACATACTGTGAAGCTGGTAAAGCCATGTTGCACTTCTCGGTGAGATGGGCAGCCTGTTGGGCTTGTGCAGCTAGTGCAGCCTGCAACATGACACGGCTGTGAAACAAGCTGCTTCAACCAAGTGCGGTAAAGCTCACCATGACACCAGGCACCAGGAACGCTACCGTCACCGCGGCACCTTTGTCTGGACATCGGTCTTCTCCAGTGCCTGCTGGGCCTGGCGCTCAGCGGGCCCTGTGCATCGGTTTTGTGTCATGTCATGAGTCATGTCCCTACACTCCGTCTTCCTTCTCAGCCCGCTCTGCTCTGATGGTCATCTCCGCCACGAAGGCTTGTGCCTGCAAAGGCAATTGTGCCACTGGTTCAGCAGCGCAGCGCAAACGAGGCTCCATGTTCGATGATTCCAGTCGACAGTGCTAGCCTGACCTCCAGCACAATCTGCACAAGCTCAGCCCAAGATCAAGGATTTAACCCTCCGACACGTAACATCAGCATCAGCATCAAACCATGAAGCACGAGCAAAGTCGCCTCATGGCGAAAAACAACTCTAATGAACCAGTCTGTGTGTGCTCATGACTGACTCAGCGGCAAAGCAACAGCTGCACAAGACGGGTGTCACCAATTCCAGTAAACTCGACCCGGTTGCCTTGCATCCGCTCTTGCATAAACGGAAAAATGCAGATTCACGCTACTTCTGCATACCCCCGCTAGATGGCACAACGGCAACATTCAACTCCTGCTGCCATCCTGCAAGACTTACGAAAATTTATGAGAATCTTTCTTGATACCCCAATCATTGAGAAAGCGCCGAAACCAGGACATGCCCCTAGAAAACTCGGTTGTCCGCCGAGGCCACAGGCCCAGGCGTCTTGGGGGTTACCCTCCACCTCATCCTCCTCCCTGCAGTCCAAACGTTTGGAGACACCCGTTTTTGCATTCGTTTGCCACCCCCTTGTCCGGCTTCCCTTCATTTTACCTGATTTGTCGGCCTGCCCCCTCCCCCCTCCCCATCCCCTCCTCCCCCCCACCTCCCCCTGTTCCTTCTTTCCAGGTTCCTTCCTTTGCCGTCCGCGGCCGCATGACCAGCAAAAGAGCAGTAAGGCCGGAAGATGGCGCTCGCACAATCGACGCCCACCCGTTTCGAGGTTGGGGTTGAGAGGCCCGCCTAGCATGCTGTATACAACATCCACTACCGCTTCGCCCTGCCGCTACAGAGCCGAGGCGGGCGGCGTAGCGTTAAAATTATTTTTGCCGCCGCGATGTAGGTTATTGCCCCATTGCTCGAAATTGTTGAAACGATGTTATTGCAATCCGGACGGCTCTCCTGACATAACACTGATTTCAACCACATGTTGAACACTAGCTCGGCCTCCAGTGTGCTATAATACCAGTGGTTTCAGTTTGTGCTGCGACATTCCTTCTTTGCTAGGGCAGAAACGAGCTTTCAACAAGTTTGGCACCCGGCAGCAGTAGTAGTGACTGGCCCCAGTGTCTTGCCGTGTCTTTGCTCAGAAGGACAGTACCAGGTTTTCACATGGTGTTTTGATGGTTGCATCATCGGAAGTTGCATGGTTCATCGTGAATGGACAAATCCATTTGCGCTAAACCCTAAACATTGGGAACACGCACCTCTCTTGCCGCAGCTTCGGCTGCTTTGGCTCTGGCCTCTGCTGTTCGGCTCGACTGCAAAGCCATGAAGTGCCCCAGTGTTGCATCGGGCAGGTAATCGGGTGCCTCTGCTTCTTCCCTCTGGGCGTCCGATTTGCGCAGCGCATCCTCAGCAGCTGCCGCTGGTCGAAGCTTCTCCGCCAGCTGCTCCTCAGCTCACATGCAGAAGCCCACCTCATAGCTCAGCCTCAAGCACGGCCTGCACTTCTGTGAGCTTCTCGTCTGCTTCTGCCTTGCATGCTGCGAATTCGCTTCCAAGGGACTGTGACTGCAACTGCCGGTCCCTAACCACAAAATGGTCGTGCGGACGGGTGACCATCCGGATCCTCAAAGCCATGTTTGATTCCTGGACTTGTGAAAGCCTTGGAGATGCAACTTGACGGATGGACAGTCTGCGCGCATGTCTCTCACTTGACTAGTTTCGGGCTGAGCCGATGACAGCTCATTCCTTAGTTCTCCACTGACGACCCACTGTTCGCACCATCGCATCACACAGGTCATGGCCACTTTGACATCGACAACACTGTGACATGGCTGTCCAGGCGCTTGTTCTGCAGCTCCGCTTGCACTTGCAAGAGTTTGTTCTGCATCTGTTTCTCCGCCAGTTGTAGTGCATCAGCGCCTCAGTTCCACTCCAGAAGCATGCATGGCTCCGTTCCAGCATGGGACTGAAAATCATAGCTCCAGTAGGCTGGTGGGTGGATCTGTGGAGATGCTTAGTTATAGTTCTGGATCCATGCTGAGGCGATGAGTGCCGAGGCACGCGAAGCCATTTGGGAGATCTCACCCAACCTTAACTTGCCATGCACGAAAGATATCGAAAGTCGAGGTCTCTACGCAGCCTGGCAGCTGCTGCTCCAATTGCCTTCGGTCTTCTTGGAGTTGTGGCACCTCCAAAAAGAACGACTTTCAAGAGTCACGATCTGTCTCCAAATATTCAGTTTGTCAGCTCATCTGGTGTGCTCGTGGGTGGTCTTTGCATGAGTCTATGAGGCACCAGCCGCCTTTGCAGCTTCGATGCTGATCTTGGTGCACTTGGTGGCGAGGGCGGCAGCCTGGCAGGGCACACTCCGACTGCGCATGTGCGATCATGGATAAGCTCAACACGGTCGAAGCTTGTTGGTTTGCCTTTCACCGTTAGCTCACGGGTTCAAGGACCGCCCTTGGCACTTGCGTGCGAAAGCGAAGGCGCATTACGGTAGGAGGGCCTGCCACTGCGTGAGTACACGGCGGTTGAGGTGGCGGGAACCCCATTGGGACCGGACTGCGCGCGGGACTAAGGTGCGAGCGTGAGTGCCATTGAATTGTCCTCTGTGCAAACGACACTCGCCACATTCGCCGCAGAAACGCGCATGGCGTCACACTGAGAGCCGCGTGGGAAGAATCCACTGCGAGTGTACCGAACCGGCGCCGCTGTTTACGATTTACGAAGCACGAACCTCCAATGTGAACTAGCAGTTTTGGAAGAACGTGCGCGTGACGGGTCGCACAACTTCGACGCTCTGTGGCCGCCCACCTCATCTCGCGCGGCCTGCGTCTCCTTAGCAGAAAGGCAAAGGAGGTTCGGTTCCATGTTCCATGTTCCTTGCTCATCATTTGCACCACGCAAGCGGTGACATGGCAACTGCACAGTATAAATGGAGCAGGTTGAGTCACATTGTGTTGCGGCGAGTCCCACCACTCTTGCAACCCCTCGTGTCCAAGAAGCTGCTCGAGCAATCCGCAGATCTGAACTGAGTGCGTCAGCACCAACCTCAAGACAGCTCAGGGATTGAAATTTGAAACGTGCCTTGCTTCGCCAATGCTTCCTGACACCTATCGATCCTGTCACGACAGCTTCATGCCTGCGCTTTGACGAGCGCTTGCTCGAACTCGACCTCCCTCGCTTGCATCTCTTCGATGTTGGCCTGGCGCTCGTCGTGCCGGGCCGTAGGTCAGAGCAGGGAACCCGGGTCAGCGCCGCAGGTAATTTAGCGGACTATGGCGATGCTGGACCCGGACGCACACGTATGCCTACAACCTGCTGTATGTATTGATGACAGGAAGTGCTGGGAGGAGGTGCACACTCCAATGATGGCCCACTGGTGCAAACGAAAAAGCACCTGCACCTGCCCCTGTCCCCCTGCCCCTGCCCCTGCCCCTGCCCCTGCCCCTGCCCCTGCCCCTGCCCCTGCCCCTGCCCCTGCCCCTGCCTCCCCGTACCCCTGCTCCCTGCCCCTGCCCTGCCCCTGCCCCTGCTGCCCCTGCCCCTGCTGCGCCTTCAGCTTGTCGGTCGATTGGAGCGATGAGCGCAGCTCCTGCCAAATATTTTTTGCAAAACAGGGCCAGGGCTCAAACGTGGTTGAAGCCGCCGCAAGCTGCCCCGCTGTCCTCGGTGCGAGCTTCGAGCTCTTTTGCAACTTTGTTTTGCCGCTCGGCATTGGCCTGCGCTTCCTGAAAATAGAAAAGACAGCATGGAACTTCCGAAGCACTTGGCTCGACTAGGCTCCTGCAGCGCGGCAGCTGCTTCAGCCTTTGCTTCCGTCGCCTCCACTCGAAGACCTGCGTTCATCTGTGTGGTCCTTGGTTGATGTACAACGCATGCCTATTCAAACAATCCTGCCACAAACCAAACGGCTTGCAAGCCCAGTTTCCCTGTCTACACACCCTACATAACTGCCGTCCTCACCTCTACAGCCTGTCCGATGCCTTCCTTGTGCCTTGGGCCTGGCCTTTGCATGGTCGCGGTCTGCACTTCCAAAGTCGCGGTAGCTTGGCGAGCGGTCGCCATGGCCTCGTCTGCCTTTGGCAGCCACAAACAGGGAAGATAGCGACAAGCGCTGTAATGACTGTAATGTGCTACTACTCCAGCTTGCAACCCCTCTCTCACTGCCTTCGCCGTTGCTGATACCGCTTGTGCCATGGCTTCCGCGGCCTTTCCCTCTGCTGCAGCCTTGGCTGCAGCAGCTGCAGCTGCTTCTCGGCGTGCGGTACAGACCTGCGAATCAGCCTGGAGACACTTGGCATGGGTCACACATACCGCGTGATGAAAGGCTGGTTTTGGCAATACTTGAACTCTTGCAAGCTCTAGCCGGGCTCTTACAGGTGGCCGCCCGATCTTCCTCGATATGCACGTTCTGACGAAACAATGCGTAGCAACCTCTTTGATGAGCTTCTGCTGTTCCTCTATCGTGGCTGTCTGCACCTCCAGGAACTTGGCCTGTGCTGAGGCTGCTGGGGCATGCGGACAGCATGCAAAACTGTTTCAAACGATCGGTGGACCCCTGGTTGCCTCAGCCGCTCTCAAGGTCTCCTTTTGGCCTTTCTTCGTTTGCTTGAGATGTTGCTTGAGGACGACCTTGGCATGCTCTCAGCAAAGCAATAGCAGCAGTAGCAAATTTCGGACAACGCAAATGCTGTCGTTCTCAGATTTCTGTTTCCGTGATTTCCCACAATTGCGGCCAGGCAGCATTCTTAGTGCGCAGCATCTGTGTTTCGGCACGGCAAAGCGAATCCATCTTCGAGAGAGCATGTAGCAATTCAAGCTTCGCATCTTGCAGGCACTGCACCTCCGGTAGACGGCGTGCAGTACAGCAAAGCTCAGCAGAACTTGGAGCTCCACAAATTGGCTACATTCCACACCTCTTCTTTCTGCTCTGAGGCCAGGCTTTCCATACGATTTCTCACACCTTTGGCTTCTTCCAGCTCCTGACAGCCCGAATCTCACACGGAACACTGCAGTGCGTCGCCTTGCATCAGCACGCCGCTAGCAACTTGCAGAACTGCAGATCGCATACTGTATTAAGTGAAGCCGGAAATTAGCGTAGCAGGGACGATTTTTCAACATACGGAGGTTTAAAATATCTGAACAAAAATTTCATATAACCTCCATGGCCTCCAAGTCTATTTACAACGGCGAGCCTGTGGCTTCTCAACATGCGGAAAATTTGTTAAACATAGTACACCACCTCCGTGGCCTTGGCGCGCCCTCCACTTATGTCAAAAGCGTCGCCGTAAGATCTTTCTGAAGAGCCTTCTGAAGCCATGAAGGCCTGTGCAAAGCTCAGGCGCCTTCGTGAGATCTGCAACCTCCTCGCGGTGAGCAACTTTCTGGGTCTCCAGGCGTTCCTTCCAGTCGCAGCTGGGCATGTCCATGAACACACACCAGGCTAACAAGCACCATGAGCACAAGCACACACATGTGGAGGCGCCGAAGGAACATGTGCGCCTCAGCTGCCAAGCGTTCCTGCTCCAATCTCTTTGCTGCTTTGTCCTTTATCCTGGCTGCCTTGACACTCCAGCGTGCCAGCATGTCAACGTCAAGCCCAACAGCACTTGCACCACAACGTCCCAGCAAGGATGCCTTGCTTCTGGCACGCAGCTTTGCCTTTTGAATAGTTGCGGCATGCTGATCCGCCTGCAAGAACACGAATGTCAAGTCTGACCTTTTCCTCATGAGATACCCAGGAGCGGCAGCGGCATGCCGACTCTTGCCACACCCGACGACGTTGCAACTTCCCGGCAATAACAATGAAGCAAGCGCGACACATAAACAAAATATAAGCATCAACAAATATTTGGCGCAGTAGCCATCAAAAATGAATGGCATCACAAAGAATTTGCATGGCCATTCTAAGGTACTGTTCTGCCGCAAGCTGCTGGGGAATGACAAGTTACAACCGCCTGTTGTGGGTCTAGGTCTTGGGGAAATACAATGCGCACTCTCCTGTCTGCAATGTTGAGGAGTGATAGCAGTAATAGTAGTAATGAAACTAACATAAACACAATAACAAGAGTCGTCGTACGAGTACACGTACTATTCGTAGTAGCAATAAAAATACCAGTAGTAACAATAGTAGTAATCCTCATAGTAACAATAGTAGCACTACAAATCAGAATAATCATCATAAACAGGGTGCCCATAATAACAATAACTAGCATGGTAATACTAAAAACAGTGGTGGTACAAGTAATAACAACAAATCAAAGAATCATGAACGTCATTCTAGAAGAGTAATGGCGGTCGAGAATTAATTTGGGAATCCTTGTTTTCTTTTAATGTTTTTCGATTTTCCTGTCCCAGAGCATCTGCAACTAGAGCCAGGTGAAAACTCTCCTTTAAATTCACGCTGTTCGCACTTTTCTTCACACTTTGCCTAACTCCCCGCATCCTGTTATTTACAACACATGGTGCACATCTGGTCCCCGCACCCTATTAATATTCACACGGGATGCCGGCTGCGCAAGCCCTAGGCAGAAGCTGCTTAGGCCGAGGCTGTAAATTCCAGCACTAGCGATTCTTCAGAAGTTCGGCTTGAACCGATGTGAACATGTTGTCATTGACAGCATCTTCGAATATTCACATGCAAACATGTTTCCAGCCATTCAAATCACATATGTTGAACACGCCCCCTCGTTTGGCGAATCCCGTTCATTATATGAACATTGTGTATATATATATATATATGTGTGTGTGTGTGTGTATATAACTTGACAAGCAGATATATCTTCAACATACCCCTCATTTGGCGATTCCAACTCATCATATAACACAAGCACACACACACACACACCCTCTCATTTGGCGATTTCGATTCCTCATGTATCTCGCAAACGCCCCAATCGGCGATTCCGGGACATCAAAGATCTAATGCATGCCCCCCTCGTTTGGTGACTCTGCTTCATCATGCATCCTGCACACGCCTCGTCTTTTGGCGATTCCGATTCGTCATGCATCTTGAACACACCCCCTGGTTTGGCGACTTCTGGTCAACATATATCTAATACACGCCCCCTACTTTGGCGATTGCGGTTCATCTATCTTAAACACGGCTGCTCGTTTGGCGATGCCGATTCGTCACATATCTTAAGCACGCCCCGTCATTGGCGATTCCAGGCATCATATATCTTGATCACGCCCCCTCATTTCTCATTACATACCTCAAACGCCTCCCTCATTTGGCGATGCGGGTTCAAAAAAATGGTAAATGTATATGTGTGTATAATAAACACATGTATGTGTTTAACAAGCCCGCTCATACGCGATGCTGGTTTGTCATATATCCTATGTATGTATGTACATACAATATATATATATATATATATATACGTGTGTGTGTATATATATATATGGGTAGGTAGTCATTCCCCCACCCCTGCATTTCTGCAACTTTGCTTTTATATTCATGGATTCTGCTACCTGGTTTCGAAACTAGTGTCTGTTTCGAAACATATCCGTAGGAGGCCCCAACCCGACCAATTAACCCATTAACCCAATCATTTGCCCAACCCATTAACCCATTAACCCAATCATTTGCCCAACCCATTAACCCATTAATCCAATCATTTGCCCAACCCATTAACCCATTAACCCAATCATTCTGGCCAAATGAAATTGCCTTAACCCATTAACCCATTATCATTTGCCCAACCCATTAACCCATTAACCCAATCATTCTGGCCAAATGGATTTGCCTTAACCCATTAACCCATCAACCCATTAACCCATTAACCCATTCATTTGCCCAACCCATTAACCCATTAACCCAATGATTTGCCCAAGTGAGACTGGACTCTACTCCCAAGTTCATTTGGCCAGATTGATTGGGTTAATGGGTTAATGGGTTAATGGGTTAATGGGTTAATGGGTTAATGGGTCGGGGCAATTTCATTTGGCCAGATTGATTGGGTTAATGGGTTAATGGGTTAATGGGTGAATGGGTTAATGGGTTAATGGGTTAATGGGTGAATGGGTGAATGGGTTAATGGGTTAATGGGTTAAGGCAATTCCATTTGGCCAGAATGATTGGGTTAATGGGTTAATGGGTTAATGGGCTAATGGCTTAATGGGTTAATGGGCTATGGCAATTTCATTTGGCCAGAATGATTGAGGTGTCAGCTCGGTTGTGTCTTCACTCCTGCACCCGGGGTTTGCGCTTGTTTGTGGGTTTGGTATGGTTGGGTTAATGGATTAATGGGTTGGGGCCTCCTAAGTCCCAGGGCCATTCGGCTAGATGATTGGGTTAATTGGTTAACGGGTTGTATCTTAATGGCGGGCGTGTGTTTCGAAACATGCCGCTGGTTTCGAAACAGACGCCTGTTTGAAAACCGCTGCAGGTCACTCGTCCGGTACCAGATCTTCCGGGCAGTGGGGGTTTGGAAGTGGTTTGTTTGTAGTTGTTTGTTGTAGTGTCTAGGTTTAGGTTGGTTGTGCCTTGGATGCATCTGGTCACTTTCCTGCGATGTGCTTATGTTGTTTTTAACTTGGCGTACTATCGGCTTTGAAACACAGTAGTTGATGCATCACCGTATTTGCACGACTACGCGACGACCGAAATCAATTATTCCAGTCACTATTCACTACTCAGTGTAACCTTGGTCATGAAACACAACATGCTCCATCGTATTCGCGCGACAACTCGACGACTGAAGGACAGTAGTCACCCTCATATTCTCATGACGACGGGACGACCAAGACACGATATCCACCAGCATATTCGCACGAATACATATCAACTGACATGTTTCGAGTTCTGTGCGGTGCTGCCGGATTGGCGACTCAACAACAGTGCTTATCGAAACATGTTGGCTTTAGAATCCCAGCACTTCGTAGTATCAGCGTGCCCCCCATCCCTCCCAACCGTGGCTGCAAGAGCCATGTCGTTTTCGGTGAAGGGCACTGCTACCTTGCAGAACGGCAAGGTTTCTTTGGTTCTTCAACCTGATGCCCCTGACTCAACTGCTTCGGCCTCGGGATCAGACCATGCTCAGTTTGACGTTCGCGCGGCCATGATGCAAAAGATCGCTGACGGCCTCATGCCCGTACACCCAAGTCGTTCACCACTCTCAGCTCGAACTTTGCTCGTCCATATTTGCCACGCCCAAGAGAAGCAGCAGTTTACCAAGAAAGGCATGTACGGTGAGTGGAACCTCCATGCTGAAGCCGCCTTGGCGGCGGCACTTTTGAAACCCAAACGCCTAGCCCTCACCGCTTCGTCGTCTTCAGCACCCGCACCCTTGGCGATCGAGAATTGCAACATTCCGGTTTCAAAAAAAGAGTCGTCCCCCAAGAATACCAAGAAGGCTGAAGCATCATCGTCCTCGTCATCTTCTACATCGGAGGAGGCCGAAGACGAGCAAGAGGAGACCGAGGATGAGCAGGAGGAGACTGATGATGTGCAACAGGAACCCGTCATGCCCGAATACTACCAGTGGACTGATGATTGGCACGATGTTTACGCTCAGCTGTTGCACATCTACGAAAGTTCCGAGCTTAATACCAAGCGGCGTAGGATCATGGACAGGCTTTTGGCTTTGCGAAGGTCACTTTGATGCAGCCGTATAGGCCGTCGTGCACACGAATCCGCGTTCAGACAAATGTGAGAGCTCTGCATTGCAAGATGTTGCAAGTTCGTCATGTGCAGTTTGTTTCGTAGCGGTTGGTCTCTATGTACACGGCGGTGTTTCGAAACAGGGCCTCGGTTTCGAACCACGTGTGGTTGTACACTCGTGATATCACACATGCGTCTTGTCAGAAACATTGCAAAACGCATTCAACGCAGCTTGATTCTCTGAGGGCGGCACAGTGCAGTAGTTAGCCAGAGCCAAACATCATCAACTCCGGAGTTTGCTGCTGGGACTCATGATATGAGTTTGCGTCTTGTTGTGTTACATGTTGTGTTCTCTCTTACCTTTTTGCATCTTGATGCCACAACAGGGAAAACCAAATGACGACTGCCTACAAGAAATGACTGAACTGAAGACCCCCATCGTGATCACCAATGAGACTGTTTCCGGATCCGTGAACGACTTGCCACTCAAGGAGCACTTCCATCAGTACAAGGCCAAGACGTTGGTGGATATCATCGAGAATGTCGCTCTGCAGGATGTGCCATGGGGAGTCGATTGCGGCGTGTCTTGCCAATGAACGATATACTGAACTCCCACCTCCGTTTCGCACCGACCGTGTTTCAGACACTGAGTTCGTACTCCAGATTGGGGTTATCAAGAATTCCACCGGCTCCTTCGGCACTGTGATCAAGCACTTCATCTTTGCAGACAAGACTACTTCGTTACGCCACATAGAGGAAATTGTACATGGCACTGGGTACCTCATCGACTACTCACCCAACTTTCGAAGTGGACCTTGTGCATTCCAAATTCTTCTGCACAGAATGTCTCACTGGATGGTGTCGTTTCGTCGGCTAGAGCAGAAGCAGCCCAAGCCGGCCAAAGAGGATTGTGGTGATCTCCAAGCCGGATTTGACTACATTCGAGAGTTCGGCCCGAAATCCAACATGGGAAATGGCCAGACTGAGTGGGCTGAAATTCAGACCCGCAGACTTGGAGGACCGCTGCATGGTTGGAGTGCGGGCTTAGTCAAGGAATGCCTGCGAAACCATTCAGCTTCGAATGTTTACGCTCGTCCAGTCACCAACTTCTTCTTGACACTCCACGACGTCGCAGGTTGGTTTTTCGATGACGTGTTGGTTGAGATCCTGGGTGACCTCAAAAGCCACACTTTGGTGATGATGGGGATGGCCGAAACAGGGAAAACACCGGTGGCTCAAGCCATCGCAATGGCGATCTCAGAATACCATATACTGGTTGGTGGGAAAGAGCAGGAACTGCGGCCGTCCTTTCGCCTCGTTGCTTCCCTGGACCAGCTGCGAGGTGAAGCCGGCATCAAGGAACGTCCGGATATCCTTGATGACCCGGAGACCAGCGTCATGTCCGTGACGAAGCTGAAAGCTTTCCTTGACAGCACTCTTACCGAGACACACACCGTGGAACGATGGACCACTTCAAAATTCGAGTCTGGGCTTTGTTAGGCATACTTGTCGGGCTTCAACACTGCAGGGGTACATCGCCTTGCACTAAACTTGTACACACGGTGATTTGCTGAGGTACGCAATCAGCTCCGAGTGATTTGCGACAATCGAGTGGATGATGATGCCGAGCCAGACTTACCGGAGTCCGAAGGCTTCATTAAGTTCGAGACCTTTATGGACATCATCTCACCAGCCTTCCCCGACAAGTGTTCAAAGCAGGACCGTATGGCCTGCCTCAAACGGGCGCATTGGATCGTAAACATGAAGAAGGCTCTCTATCTTCGACCTCCCGGTACCAAGACAGTTCCTGTCAAGCGCATCCCCTACTTGCACGGCCAGACTGACTTCTTGAACCAAGAGGGCAAGGATATCTTACAGGCCATGCGCGATGGCATTGAGACACCACCAAAGAATTGGGTCCAAAAGAGACAATGGACTCACGATGTCCTGAGCATGATCATCGAGAAGAAAGAGCGACCACGTCGCACTGCCACGATTTTGATTCCCGGGTCAGGCGGTAACGGTCCCACTTCTCGTGACTCAAAGCCACAAGTTCCATTCTCAGGCCGCATTTGTCCAGACTTCTTGCCGACCGGGGACACCGCCGCTTCTATGGAGGACAGGTGCGAGGCTTCCTCTTCTTTGCCAACCGCCGCTAACGTTGCCTTAAAGACGGAGGTTGAAGAGAAAGCTTTCTTCCCGCTCATGGTGGCGTCCCACGCAGATGACGTCATTGACTTGGCCACGCCAACACCTCCTCGCTGTAAGCGTCCTCGGCTAGATGATGCCTTTCCCGACGTGGGCGAGGATCCTGAGAACTGAGGTGCCTCCTTCTGCGAATGAAGTCGCGTCGGAAGAACCTAGGTGCTTGAATGTAGCTACAACATCGGTTGACTCTGTAGAAAGGTACACTGCGCAGAGAATGTTGGCCTCTGACAAGGCACTCAAGTTTTGTAGTTTGAGTGCCCACTGCCACTTGGATAGAGTGTCACATGACATGCACATTGCCGCCAACTTGGAAAATGGAGCCACTACGATTTGCTGCAAGTGATGTCGATTGATTGCTTTGCAACTGGTGTTTCTTGGCAAGTTACGGGGCTTATCACTAGCAGGCCCACTGCACGACAGCAAGCAGACTGTCACTGTTTCAATGCCATGTGACAAACAGCAGCGAACACAGTTGAGCGTTCTTGGACCTGGTACATGTACTACCTAACGTGGCCTGTGCAACAATGACTAGACGTGCGCGGGAAGATGGCCTTCATGCTCTGGAGCTACCCTCCTGCTCCTTCAAAGAATGGCTCAAGGACGTCGACGAGCACTGCTTTGAGAGCGATGTAGCCTTCCAAAAATATCTCATTCACCGTCGTGTTCTCGACGAAAACGGTGCGAATGTTTCCTTGTCACTGAGGGCAATCGGCATCTTCTTGAAGTACAGGGCTGCTCTACAGATAAAGAGATGCACGAAATGTGGGAAACCCGCTCGCTTCGAGCAGCGAACCTCGAGGGGATGGACGACTTTTGGATGGACATGCAGTGCTGTTGGACACAAGCACATGCAACTACAACTCAACCAGTACTGTACGGCTTCCTCACTGAAATACCGGTGAATAGCTGGTTCCCGTTTCTCCATCTCATCAACATGTTGCGTCTTTCTATGAACTGGTCCACCATCATCCAGGAGTTGCAGGCGGGCTATGGCAACATCGCCAAAAAGACGATTGCGAAATGGCGTGACGTCTTCCAGAGGGCTATCGGTGCTGCTCTGGACAAAATGGACTGCAGGGTCGTCGGTGGCAAGAAGGAGACGGTCGTCATGGACGAAGCCATCGTCGGAGTCCATCCTGAAGATGGTTGGTCAGTTGGTTCGAGGGGGATCAACAAAGCTGGTGCAGAGCAGACTAGGACAACGGCGCGCCTGGAACGGAAAAAACTGGTTTCCAAGGGTGCCATGAAAAGGCTGCCAGCTCGAACACTTCATGGGTCAGAGAAGGCTTCACGCACCGGGCCACAGCTCCTGAAGAAGCCGGCTTCAACACACATGAAGCGGCCATGTGGTGTGATGAAAACGATCCTGAAGAAGCCTGCTGCCGTTCGACCACCAGCCAAACGACTCAAGAAGACTGCCGCAAACCTCAAGACAAACGGTGCCTGGCTATGGCTTGCTGTCGCTGTGGGCAAGAACAAGGAGATCTACACCCATGACAACGGCAAGAAACGCATCACTTATCGTCTTCTGCCTTCTCGCAAGAAAGCCATAAAGAACAAACCTCGCGGCTTTGAAGAAATCCAAAACACGGTTGAAAAGCACGTCGCGAAAGGCTCGTACTTGGTGTTTGACGGTTGGACTGCTACCAAAAAGGCTGTGGAAGCACTAGGCTATGATTACGCACCTCCTGTGAAACATGAAAAGTGTTTTCGTGATCCTGCTACGGGGTTCCACACGAATGATGCAGAGTCTGAAAACGGCAGGCTCAAAAAGTGGTCAAGGTGCCGCTATGGAAAGCTTTCTTTGGACATACTCGAAATGGATGAGTATGTCTTTTATGTCAATGTCGGAACTGACATGTCTTCAATCCTGAAAGGACTGGCACGAGCCAACGGGGTCATTTGCAGGAACGACCTGCTTGAAATCTAGTAGGGGCACGTCGAAGCTTGAAATCAGATGGGGAAAGCGCTGTTCTGCATTGCACTGCTCTGCCGGCTACCACAAGTAAACAAGTTAGAGAAACGATGCTCGTGTGTTGCTGCTGAAACATCTGAGGTGCCTACATTGGCTTGGTTGTCTACGAGCATCTGGGTATGGGGCATGACTAGGGTCAGTACATCATTCGCACTGTATTGTATTGGGCGCAATACCGAAGATGCTGAAATGTAGGGGTGAGGGAATGACCACGCGCCCATATATATATATATATATATATATATATATATATATGTCTCTCTCTCTCTCTCTCTCTCGGGCATGAGGGTCGGTTAGGACCCCCGGGCATCGTGCCCACCCGATGTGTTATCGGGTTTGTTGGGGGGTGAAAGACAAATGTAGACCCTGGCATTGGCTAAAGCCCTCAAGTATACGATGTCAGAATTGCCAGGATCGTACATTTTCGACATACACGTGCATTGCTTGAGGTTTTCCCCCGATTTAGGCCCAACAAACCGGTTTAATGAAAAAGAAGATTTCAACGGAGGTACACCTCTCTAGCACAGTCCCCCGCTGGTGCCTTACGCAGCAGCGAATTAAGGAGTTCACGGGATCTGTTATACGCAAAAGGCAAACATGAATATTAGAAACAATATCATTATTCCCGTTCCGTTCAATGGCCCTCGTCAATGCTCCCCCCGACTGCAACAATCACAACGCAAAACAATCTAGGGCCCAAAACATCTATAAGTAGTTCGGAGCACTGTCTGTAATTTGGGGGAGCTGGGTGTGACGAGGCCTTGCACAGCTACTACTCGACACCTGCAGAGTTCAGAACTTGGTCGAAGCAAGGATAGGGAAAAGGACTCTAGATAAAAGTCAGGACCTCCTCACTACAACTAGACGCTGCATGTTTCCTGAGGTGTAGGCAGCACATACTCCACGACTCGGTCAAAAGGTAGCTGTCTTGAGAATGTGGCGATGCATTCACGGCCTTAACGGACCAAAGTCTCTCTCTCTCTCTCTCTCTCTCTCTCTCTCTCTTAAACACGCCCCCTCATTTGGCGTTTCCGGTTCATGTATCGTCAACATGCCCCTTGCGGTTCATCACATCTCTTAGCCACGCCCCCTCATTCGGTGTTTCCGATTTTTTCATACATCTTGAACACACCCCCTCATTTGGCAGTTCCGCTCATATACCTTAAACACGCCATCTCATTACGCCATTCAGGGTCATCATATATCTTACACACACGCCCTCTTTTGGCGATTCCGATTCGTCATTTATCTTAAACACGCATCCTCATTTGGCAATTCTGTGTCATCATATACCTTAGACATGCTCCTAGCATCTCCTAGCAGTAATAGTGCTAGCAGCTAGCAGTACCATTGATTGCTAAGACTGCCACGTGCATATTTCTGTCCTGCTAATACAAAGAAGAAGAATCGTAATAATGCGTATCATATTTCATGCAATACCAAGATACATACTCTAGTACTCAAAGCCGTATAGCAAAGCCCAGAGCACCAAGAAACCAGAAAACCACGGGACCAAAGTGCAAAAGGACACCAGCACACCACGAAATAGCAGCATGCGGAATAGGACATGCTAAAACTTACAGTTCTGGCAGCAGATGATTTTTGATGCTGATCAAATAATTTGTTGATGCTTAACTTTCTTTGATGCCTATGCCAACTATCTGCGAGCCGTCCTTCTTCCTTGCGTCGCGCCATCGAGTGTCTGCATCAGCAAGTGCCAGCTGTGCCTCCATGTCCTGATCACAGCTGTAGATGCTCGTGCTTCTCGCAGCTTTCCTTTTCAAACTGATCACGTGGAGCTCAACTTCACCATCACTCCGACATACTGCGACGGGCTACCCAGCGCTGCTCTGCTTCCGCGTACTTCATCTCTGCCAACTCGCGAGCCTGTGCAGAAGCGCCTTCTGGCACCAACGACCAACTAATTGCCAACTGCCATGTATGTGAGCGACAATAACTCCAAGCAGGTACTGCCCTGGCTAGACCTTGCATTCAGAAACTGCAACTACGGCTCCAATGAAAAAAGCACAGCAGGCCTGGTTTGCTTCATCTACGTCCTGCATCACCCGGATCGCATATTCACCTTGAGGTGACAACCAAAGAAAACGGCCTCTTTGATCTGCGGTTCTGAAGACTTCCAAGGCTCACCGAAGCCAGAACCTGGCTGACACGTCTTCCTGCAGCTGATTCCATCGGAAGCCCTACAAACAGCAAGAATCCAAGTGCAAGTGACGAAGCTCAACGATCAGTGCAAGCAAGTCGCAGCACTCGTTGTACGATCTTTAGCGAATCCTTGCTCACCATGTCGGCATGGCTTTGGATGAAAGCTCTCCAAGCATCAGATTCTCTTCTGATGAGGTCGGCCAGCTCATCCTTCGGGGCTTGCTTGCCGGGCGTGTGGGGATGCAGGGGCGGACCCTACAACCCCTTCGGGCCTCTCTTTCTCTCTCTTTTTTTTTCTCTCTCTCTCTCTCTCTCTCTCTCTCTCTTCGCTCTCGACGTTCGGGTTCAGGGTTCTGGCCGTGAACAACAAGGAACAAACGGCCGGCTGCCGCTCCTTCAGAGCTTCCTGGATTTCACTCCATGAGCCACCACACACGCCTTCAATGAGCGAAGGTTTCTCGAAGAGAGGGCTGATTACCACGAAAGCGCGCGGATTTCGATCGTGGACCTCAGCTGGAGTTTTGTTAGCAGAAGGCTCGCATGGTATCATGGAGCGCTACCAGCAAGTGTGGGATTGCAGGTTGCAGGGGGAAAGGCGCCGCAATATCGTCTGCCGCGAATTCCAGGCTCGCAGAGTTGACGCTGAGCGGCAGTCAGCACCAGAGCGAGCTGGTGGTGTTCGAGCTCCATGAGGGGACTCCCCTGGTTTCTGTATCCTCAGCCGGCAGGCTGCCTTCAGAACACGTAGTGTGCACTAGAAACCTTAGCCTTCAACACTCTTTGACAGACTTCTGCACCCATCTACTACCCACAAAGTGCAGCGCAGGCTCGAATTAAATCACGAAAGATTGATGGTGTTTTCCGTAGCACATCACTTGAGCACTGGGGTCGTTCACGCAAGAAAATGCAAGAGGTCCGTGGGACAGGAACGCCTTTGAGAGCGTGGAAGCGGATGACGTGATCATGACCTGCCACGGGTCGCTGGCAGTGCACTGGTTGTTGCGTACGGCGTTTGGCTTGCCCATGGAACATCAGTTGCAACGAATTGCCAAGTGGCTGAAGACCTTCCGCAAGTTTTGCCCCTCGGGGATCAGCTTGTTCACTTCGTCCGTGACCCGTGCCACCGCTTGTCCGTAGGGGGGGGGAAGATCTTCCACCTTGCAGCTGCCGGCAGAATCAACGGTCTCAATTTCGCTCAGTCTCGCGGCGAGCCCCCGTTTCGAGAAGTAGAGGTCTGCCTCTCTCCCTCTCTCTCTCTCTCTCTCTCTCTCTCTCTCTCTCTTTCTTTCTTTCGCCAGGGTTAGGGTGATGGGGTTTCCCCCCTCACTCTCTCTCTCTCTCTCTCTCTCTCTCTCTCTTCTCTTCTCTTCTCTTCTTCTTCCGGAGCAACCTCGCAGAGCGCAGCAGCGTGACAAGAACTTTGTAAACGATGTCTCATAAGCTCGTCCCGCGATGCACCATCACAGTAGGTCCACTTGCTGCTCGTCCATTGTGCAATGCACCGTGACGCATGTGGGGATCAGGTTCGATGCCGGTGAAACGGCAGCGATTCTGCAGAAAACCGACAAGAGCAAGAGGAAGAAGATCGCCCTGGTGGACATATGTCAACATGCAGGAATGAGAACAAGCAGTGCAGCATAGTGCAGCAGTCCACAAGCAGTCCACAACGCGGACACAGCGTCGGCTGTGGCGGCCGGTGGCCAGCACAAGCTCAACATTGAAGCGGCCGAAAGCTGCACAATGCTGATGTGTGCGGCGTGTGCGGATTGCACTTGGGAAAAAAGACATGGCACCACAACCAACTGAATGATAAGGAACCAGTCTACGACAATCGAAGTCTTGGCCTTCGTCAGTCGGCGGTCATACATTCGGTGCTTTGAATTCTGTCACTGAGTCTTTCCAACCAGGGTTTCCAGGCGACTTGGCAGATAGCGCAGTCCGCGGCTATTTTCCGTGCCTCCGTCGCCTCCACAAAACCATTCTGGTCGGGCTTGCTTGCAGTGGGTGCGCAAAGACACTCACTCACTCTGCCCTCTCCACCTGCCCTCGTCTCTAACACTCGCACGCAAGAAGCACCCACCTGTGCACACCCACCAGCACTCGTAAGACTCTCCGAAAGGAAGCACACACACACACAACACGCACACGCGTGCAAACAAACAAGCAAACACAAACACCGAGTGCCTGCGGCGAGGGTGCACCACGTGCTTGGCGCAATGCTGCCAGCACACTGTCCTGTCTTTCGTTCAATTGTGCGGCATGGTAGTACACGAGTAGTTGCTTCTTGTTGTCCAGCCATCGCAGAGACTGGAACCTCGCCACGCACAAGCGAAATTCAAGCGGGGGCACACTCACCGGCAGCAGATGTACTGCTTTTCACAGTACGCATGCAGTCCCAACTTGGAGGTTCTATATGATATGAGGATGGGCGCAGAGCAGGCAAAGAATTAGTCTCACAGCAAGGGCCAGGCAACGGTTCGGTGAAGTAGTCCAGCTCCTGCAGCATGCTGTCCAGTAGTCTGGAGTACGCCCGCTGCTCCTCCTCCCAAAAGCCACTTGGACCAAGCATTCGGCAAAATTCATTCTTTCAGTGGGTGTCCTGTTCCGGACGCAACGTTGCGTCCTTCCCTGGCTGTAGATCTTTTTCTGGTGTTTCCATCGTCACGTCCGGGTCAGTCCTGCGCCAGAAGCCGCCCATCATGCAGAGCTTCTCTCTTCAAGCCTCACTATTTGGCACAATGCAACAACCAAGGCGGTCTTGTCATCAGCACCCTTGCGTGGCTTCTTCGGGGTGACGGTGGCTGTCACGACTGCAGGTCCAAGCTTGAGCACCTTCCAACTGGCAGCGGCTTGAATTTGCGGCTGTCCTACGGCCGTGGCCGAAAAGCAAATTTTTCCAGTTTCCGCATGACCACAAACACGAGCGAAGCCTGTCGGATTAGAAGAGCTGTAGCTTGGCTGAAGAGATCCTGTTCCTTTGTTCCGATGGAAGCAGCAAAGCAGAGAACGTGCAATTCCCCTTCTGTGGCTGAACAACAGCCAGAAAGAGGATGCCCATGGCTGCCCGAAGTCAAAAACAGCCAAGGCTCCGTCTTCAACAACCTGGCATGTCGCTTCTGCTCTCTTGCTGCTGATTGCACAGCATGTTGCACGAAAGTTGGTGCTGTGGGCATTCTCTGCATCGCAGCATTGGCAACCCGCCTCCTCCAAGCCCCTGCATCTCGTGCAATGCCACGTGCCAGTTCTTCCGAAGCCGTGGCAAAGCAGGAATGGCTCCGCAACAGCGGGTTGGCAATAACAATCGAATTTTTGAGGAAGCTGTCCATGTGCATAATCACCGCAGACCTTGATGCTGGCAACAAACCAGCAAGTTGCCAGCAAGGAGCGACAGTCCACAAACTTGGGGCCCCACCGATTGGCTTCCAAGTCGGCAATAGGGTCCGCAAATTGCCCTAGCACATCGCGACATCATGGCAGTGATGTTACACTTCCAGACTTTGTGTGACCTTCCATCTCTACCTTTTGGAGAAGCCGGCTTACTAGGCAAAAGAAAGAGCACTCCAGCCGAACCCCAACAAGCGAAGAAGCCCAAGGGCCCCATGCTGCCACCTTCTAAACACTTGAAGTGCTTCCTGTCTGCAAGTTTCTCATGTCTGCATCTGCACGTGAACAGTGTTAGTGCCTTCAGCAAAGGTCCAAGGTGTCTCTTCGGAGGATACACGGGCGACACGCGGCCGCTGTTGGAAGAATACGCAAGCGGCCGACTCCGGGAGATTTGGAAGCACCAAGAACCTTGCGGAAGCAGAAACAAGCCGCTGTGACATCCGTGCCTCCACGCGAATCTGCAGCCCAGCAACTTAACAACTGATGCATGCCCAAACACCTCGCAAGCAGCAGCCGTGCTTGCTGGCGGCATCGTAGGGAGTCATTAGTCACTAGCTACTACCGCCATCTTCTTCACAGGCGACATCGGCTCCACCACGCTCACCGGGCAGGCTTTATATCTGCGAAGTGAACATGGCATTAGTGCAAGTACTTAACTTCACTTGCATCCCATGTCATCGACTGCAAGTGGAGAGAGCTGCACATCCTTACAAATCAGTAACAGAGGCAGCAAAAAGAAACCATATCACGATTCTACAGCGAGGAGCGACCCACATCAACATGACGTGCGGATATGAATCCGCCCCATGCAGATCTCAGGCGTTTGCAGGTTCGTAAGGGTCGATCTACAGTTTCTAGAGGGTTTTTTTTGCGACTGTTTGCTGCAAAATGACGCATGCTGCTCCCACAATCTGTGCGAGGCTCCAAGGCAAGCAGTGGCAGCGGATATTACTCCGCGGCTTACTCATTTACGAGTCACCTCCTCCCTGCTGCTCTTTCTTTCTTTCGCCAGTGCTATGGTGTAGGGGCTTTACCCTGCTGCTGCTCTCTCTCCCTCGCTCTCTCTTCTCCTAGGCTTTCTCTCCTCTTCTTCCCCAGGGCAAAGGTCCTCCGGCCACCAGGGCCCCCCAGTTTCTGGGGCTTTGGGGGGATGTGGAGAGCCTCTCTCTCTCTCTCTCTTGCTTGCTTGCAAAGGGGTCTGGGCACGCATGCGCCCTGGCCCGGAGGCCTACCCCCGTGGTTCGCGTCTGTGTGTCTTCGAGGCCCCTTTCGGCATAAGAAGACTGGCACGTTGGCACGTTCCCTCGAGCGTACCCGTGAACCCATCCCCCCAACCAACCGTGCCAAACCATGACCTGCTTTGCTTTGCTCCGGGGAAAGGAGCAGGGGCAGCCCCCCTGCATGTGCGCATCCCCATCCACGATTTGCAGTGGAGGGGCTCGGCTGTACTTGGGAAGAACCGGTGGCGTCTTGGGTGCCCCCGTGTGGGGTGTATGTTTGCTAGCAAAGGCGTCAACAACCACCCATTTACAGAGTGTGTTGCTCGAAAAGCGTGAGCATGAGGGCTTGCAAAAACATGCTAATCCGCCGAGGCCACAGGCCCAGGCGTCTTGGGGGTTAGCTCAGGTTCCCTCCACCTAATCCTCCTCCCTGTGGTCCAAATGTTTGGGGACACCCGCTTTTTGCGTTCGTTTGCCACCCCCTTGCCCGGCTTCCCCTCATTTTACCTGATTTGTCGGCCTCCCCCCCCCCTCCCAGGCCTCCCCCTGTGCCGATACACGACAAGGAAATGCTCCTTGTTAGGAGGTGTATGACCAGTTTATTCCCTAAGGATCAAAGGGCAGCGCCCTGCACACGGACAGTAGTTGTTTTGTCTTGCTACGCAAGGAGAGCTTGTCTTGTCTCAATATGGTAAAACCACTGTGAGCCAATGGGCAGCGGAATGTATATGTATGAGCATGCAGCCATTGCTGTAGGTACCTGTTAGAGCTACCCCTTTAGAGGTTTACGGTTTCAAACAGACACTAATTTTCTTTTACCGGAAGCATGGCCGCACATTCACACATATACTATTATGCCCACTGTCACAGTTGCGGAGTTTGGACTCATGATAAAAACAGCATATTGTTTATGCTAGGTATAGCACTGAAGTACACTGTTGAGGTCACTCCTTTTGCACACACTCATGCATGTTGGTCAGAGAGATCATCTGTACAAGATCAGGTCTGGTAATGTTCTTCTACCGAATTATGCAGCCCTTCATTGTGCTCTTGTTAGAGCTTTGTGAGTCACTGTTGTGAAACTCTGAGAATTTTCTTATCTCAGATTCGGATCCAGGTTTGGATCATAGGCTCGAGCATAGACGTTCGGATGTGGTTCATCCGGGTCTGAGTGATCTTCTTCGGAACTTGAAAAGATTCCGAGTAATCTGTTCTCAGCCCTGGTGAAGGCGGCGTCTGCAGTGTCATATCCATGGTTGGATGTAGTCGCCTTTGGCTCGGCCTTTGGTGCAGCTTGTGAGCTGATTGGAGTTGCCTCGGCTTTAGCCGGTTGTGGCTGCTTAGCCTTTGCCCGTTCGGCCCTTCTTCTTTCAAGCTGTCCGTCTGAGGACGCCCATGATCTTTCACTTTCATCTCCTGAGGAGATAAGGCGTGGGCATGAAGGCTGTTCCAGTACTGTGCTGCAGAAGGAGTTAGGACTTCTTCATGGTCAGATTCTGACTGGTCTTCCTCAGAGCTTTGGTCGTCAAAAAGTGTCTCAAGGACATTTTTGAGGTTTTTATGTCTTCGCTCTATCTCTAGTGAGGAATGGACCAATTGATTGAAGACTGTTTTTGAGTCCTTCAGTGCTGTTAGAAGGATTTCCACTCTGGATAGAGTATCTTGGATGGTGTCAAGATGATCCTTTCTTTCCTCCTTGTCTCTCTGGATAGAGTTTCGCAATGATTGTGCGATTCTGAGGAGGTCGAGATATTTCTGAATAGGCATAGTTGCCGTATGATTGTCATGTATGACAGTTGTTTCGTCGCTGCTCAAGTTCCTGAATAGGACTTCCACGACTGGTAGAAACTCCGTGCTCCACGGTTCCTCTTCATCATATGTTTCTACATGCTGTTGCACGCGTTGCGTAAACTGCTCGGCTGCTTCTACCGTTGCATCGATAGAGCTGACGTGTCTTACTGCCATGTTTCGGCACATAGTGTTAATGGCCTGGCCTTGATTGGCTTCGCCAAGTGCAGCGTCTGCATGGTTGCAGAGTCCACTGTTATGGGCTTCTCTAGCTGCTTTTCGTTGAATGCGCCGATTTTGACCTCCTCTTCTGGTAGGACCTTTTGGTCTCGGAGGATCTGAAGGTACTGTTCCTTTCGCCTTTGGCGGAGGAGTCTTAGGTGGAGGTGACATGTTTGCCTTGTTAGGCACTGGTGGCATTGCCTTGGGCACTGACGACGATGAGGCACTTGCGAGTGCAGATGTACCTCTGGCTCTTGCCGAGGATCCCTTAGGGATTGATGTATAGGTAATCTGCATGGCTTCTTCGGCCATTTGTGAATGCAATGCATCACTGAATAATTGCCTCATATGAGGAGTAGTACTTGCATCGTCATAGGTTTGAAACCGTTCAATGTCCCTTTCGGTGCCACGTGATCGTGTATCACCTCTTTGAAAAGGATCGTTCCTGCGAATCTCCGCAACTTGTACTGCCTGGAGGCAGGTTTTACACAGCACCTTCCTTGAAACATCTTTTGCTTGCTTGAGCTGGTAACAGCTGTCTGAAAGATGGTAGACTTCGCTTCGGGAAGTGTGCCACACAGGTCGCAAATCCGTTGTTTCTCCAGAATTGACCCTGTTGGGTCCTAAAGGTTCACGCGTCTGTGGTTCATCCTCGGGTTCGAGAAATGGTGGTGGTCGTTTCGCTGCTGCTTTTGCATTTGATTGTTGGCGGTCCATACATCTGATGGGAGCCCTGGTGAGCTGCTTCCACATCCAGTGTAGGCCCATTAGCAGCAGAAACACATTCCACGCGATGCTGAAGACGGAGAAGTCTTGCTCACTGGTTAGTGAGTTTGGAAGTGAAGGTTCATCAGTCTTGATAGACTCTGCGTTTGCACCGCCTTGATTACGGTGTCCGAACCAGCCCGACAACCCCGCTGCTGTGGCAGCTGTTCTGAGTGCCTTGCCGCTCGGAGCAGACGGTGGGCGTGATGCCTTCCTTCTTCTTCTCCGGCTGGAGGATTCGTCCTCTTGTTCGTCTTCATCTCTTTGAGCAGACATCAGGTTTGATGTTTCTCGTTCGTGCTCTTCAATATCACTCTTTGTTGGAGAGTGTTCTTCTTCTTGTTGTTCCTCAAGTGTGTCCAGTTCCTCTAAAGACATGTTGAGCTTGTCAACAATATTGGTTCTTTGAGGTCTGGACCTTGATCTTGGTAGATCTTGTTGTGAAGAGGACGATGATGCCTGGCTCCTTCTTGGAGGAGGGCCTTCAGGCTCGCTGGGACGTTCAGGCCTTGGCCTTTCCCAGAATCTTCCATATCTGTGATAGCTACCTTGTGGTTGCTGTTTGTCGTACCAGCTGTTGCCGGATGAATACACAAATGAGTCTTTGTAATCCCAGTATTCAGCATTACGCTGCTTGTAAGCCTGTCGCTTGTTAGCGATCTTCTGAACCTGGGCATCTGACCGGTTGTGTTTCCCTTTTGTAAGGATTGGTTGTATCGTGAAGCCCAAAGGGCTGTGCCAATCTTTGTCAGAGGGACTCAACCAGAGGTCAAGGTTAGAAAAAGTTGAATAGTACTGCTTGACTGAGACAAACAGACGGATATCGATATCCCTGTTTCTGTTCATGTCCTGCCACATATCTGAGACTCGTTCCCAGTATGTTCTTTCGGCGGCAGGTGTAGCATCTCTTGGACTAGGTGACGCCGTGTGCGGCGTTTTACTCCAGTCAAGGATATAACTGTTGATACAGTCGAGGTCAGCAACTTTCTTCGCCGGGTCCGGCGGTAGACGATCTGCACGTGCCAGTCTGTGCTGGTCAGAGTTGTTCAAGCAGAGGTGTCGCACTTGTGAGTGCCTTCCTGCTATTCTGTTGAATGCTGCAAGTTTCTTCTCCAGGTATAGAGAAAACAAACCGTTTCGCGGGTGAACGTCTCCACCTTTTAAGGTGAGCCTCGACGCAATATTATTGAGATCCCCCGCAATTACATCCGGTTTGAAAGGGAGAACCTCGTTGAGGAACGCGTTCACCAGTTCGCGCCTCTGTTCTTCCTTATGAGTCATGTATGAGTTGAAATGGACGATCGCGATGGTGATGACCTTGTAAGGCCCTTTTGTACACCACATCTCGTCAAGATCGTTTGATGCTTCTTGTGAGAAGATCTCTGCGTATGACTCAAAGTCTTCCTCTGGTGGCTCATCACCCTCGACATGGCCGTTCCATTCACAGAGAACCGGCGAAGGGTCGAGGTCCGACAGTGTCAGACACGCCTCTGGTGAGAGGTAA